CTTAGATTGAAAATCCAATCTATATGTTAATTTTAAATGGTGGAGAAATAGGACTTGAAGGTTTTCCCCAATAGAAACAATGAAGAGTACTTCTTATTATTTTGTTGTATAATGTTGCAGCATAAATAAAACGACTTAGCATTGCTTTTTTCTAATTATAAATTTTATATTTAGCATTATGCAAAGTTTAAAGGAAAGTTTGGTTCCTATTCAAGTTGCTTCTGGATTATCTTTAAAACTTACAGCTCCTTTTATAGATTATTTCCATCATGCTTGGACTGTAATATATTTCAGTTGTTTTTAGTCTTCGATAGTTAGAATTGTGAGAAGAACAAGCACTGACATTCTAGGCTAAAACAACATTTACCTATTTTACTTCAGTCATAAATGTGCAGATCCTTGATTAATCTCTCTTTTATTTTTGAAGTGTCTTGCAGAAATATTTCCAGAAAGAAATGAAAAACCTGCAACTGACAAAACCAAATGCGTCTGCTTCGACCCAAACTACCAGACAGAAAAAGATGCAAGAAGTTGGAAGTTTGGTCAAATATTTCATCAGATGTGCTAATAGAAGTCAGTAATATATGTTCATATAGAATTACTGTTTCGTTTTGGTGCTTTGCGTTCAACTTTGCATTTTTAGTCTGAAGTAAGTTACCAGGGTAGAGTTCATCTTGCTCAATTCCACGTACTTACAGTTTAAGTATCTTCATGTGAATCAGTCCTTTGTGGTCCTTCTCTGTCCTTGTTGATGTTCACAGTGCCTTTTTCTAATTATTCAATTTATATATAACTGAGGTATCCTCTCGTAATTTATTTTCTTAGAAACAGTTTGTTTAAGAAGATCATTCCTAACAGAACTGTTTCTGAACTGTAGGGATTTTTTTCTTTTTAAGTAAACATTTAAAAACAATTAATTCCAGATTTATTTGGCACACTTTGGGTTAATTACAGTCACACATTGTTTCTTCGTGTAGGAGGACCCAGACTGAAATGTCAGGAACTTCTGATTTATGTCCTGGAAATTATAAGAGATCCAACAAGTTGTGCTGCTTACGGATCTGACTGTAGTAGTATACTCCTGAAAGATATCCTCTCAGTAAGGAAATATTGGTGTGAGATATCCCAGCAGCAGTGGTCAGGTAACATTTTTAAGCCTACTTACAAATGTCTTTTCCTAGTATAGAAGCATGTTCAGGTGCATTTTAAGTTGTTTGATGCGCTGTTGTGTGTGAGGTACTACATAAAACATGGAGTAAAATAGTATCAGCCTTGAAGGCTTACAGTTGAAATACACAAAGCGACAAAGATTAGGAATTGATTTTTTTCTTTCTGTATACTGTTTGTCTATTGCTTGCTGAAACATATGTACTTCTATACAATCAGGTTATGTATGCGTGGTCTCCACAGGGCTTAACATGTATAACAAATCCATGGAATGTGTATGCTGGAAATAGCCTCAGTAAAACTGGTGTTGGTGTGCAGTTGTTTGCAAGTTATTAGGTATTGGCTGGTATAGTTTTGATATAGTTAATGTATTACTATTAAATTTTATTATCTGAGTTTTGTTGGCTTATGAAGGTCCTAAAAACCCATTGAGTCACTGTTGTTATATGCATATATTGCATATAAAGAAAAAACTAGAAAGCTTAAGATTTAAATAGATAAAAACAGTTTAAAAAGTTGGGTAATGAAGAGCCTGCAACCTGAACTGAGTGGAAATGCAAACATAATTTTTCACTTTTCAGAGGATTGGATTTGACTCCAAGACTTATTTAGCATGGAGAAGAATGTTTATGTATCTTGAATCATCTGACGTGTACTAAGCTCTCAACTCATCTGTTTTCATTTGTTGATGTAATAGAACAGTAATTTGGAAAAAAAAATGGTATTAGAAGTTTTATAGTCTAGTTTGTTGAATGTTGTATGTGCAATCCTGGAGAAAGTGTAGAAATACTATCTTTATTTGCATAGTGTAGTGCTCTGAAGTCAGAGTTTCCATTTTTGAAAAGCATTTTATGAGAAAATACTCTGTAGCTTGAATAGAGTTTTTTAACTACAGAATGGAAATAAACTTGCAAGGAACTCAGAAGAGGGGTCTGGTGATACTGGGAGTGAAAGGGGAGGCAAAAAAAACCTGCCGAAGGCTGGCAAAGCAGAGTGACTAAAATGGAACCACTCAGGATGGGAGGTGTGGTTGGGTAATTAGCCTGAGGGTGAGATCTCAGAAGTTAAAGAACTTGGTACTATTTGGCCATGGAGATAGAACTGGAAGTTGAAGATTGAAGGGGAAGCTGGAACTGTATAGGAAAGCTGCCTGAGACTAGAAGCCAGTGAGGGGGGTAGAAGACAAAGGGCTGTCAGCCTGCAGGTTGGAGCAGAATGTGAAGGCAGGGACTGACCTGATAGGGAGGCTGGAACCTGGAATTCAGAGCAATAAGCAGGAAAGGCATCTGAAGAAGAGCTGGGTACTCAGGTGGAACTGAGGGTAGGTGGGTAGTGAATGGGACAAAAAGCCAGGATTTTGAAGACCGATAGTGAAGAAGGCAGAGAAGGGAAACTAAGGCTGAGTGTCACTGGAAAGGTACATACGGGTTGCTTGAGGAGTCTATGGGAGCTGCTGTGTGGTAGTTACGTAGTTTAGGAAACGTGGAAGTTAGCTGAGTCTGTTTGTGTATGGACAGAAGCTGGAAGTGTGACAGAAGAAATTTTGACGTTAGATCATATGGGGCATAGCGGAATTTAATTACTGAAGTGAGACAGGACTGAAGGCCATAAATCTAGAGGAAGTCAGACTTAAATCCATTAAATGAAACAAGTTGCATTTATTAGAGGAGGGATATATGAGCTTTGTAAAGGTTATCATAACCTTTTTAGTGATTCGACCTTAATGCTTGTTTATAATTCTTGGAGTACAATGGAGAAGTCTGTTTTCTATTTATAAAATTGGTGATCTGGTGCAGGAGTTGAAAGTAAGAACATGGATTCCAGCTGTTGCCCCAAAGCAGATTTGATAAGCAAATACTGACTTCATGAGGTGCTTTTATCTGCTGGAATTTCTGAGCTTCTGAATGTTGATAGTCATACTCTTAAAAATTATGAGGAGCTGTCATATTGTTATATACTGGCTGCATCATCAAAGGAGTCACGTGAGGCCAGTGGAAGCTGTATGCAGTAGTCTTACTGAAGGAAACTGGAAGCCCTGGGAATTGGTAATGGGACCCTGTGCCTCTTGCATCTTGGGCATTGGCTTTTTAATAAATAGATATTTTAGGGACCTGTGAGGACGTCAGTGAGCATTTGGTATTGCCACTGTAGTAATGAATGAGGACACCTCTTTGCTCAGCTGTCTGACTCTTTCAGAAAGGAGGAGGAGTCAGGGCTGCAACAGACTTCACCTCAATTGGTGCTGGTTGCAACTCAGTGCACTGATAACAGTGTTGGAACAACAGAGATTTACTCAGTCCTCTACATGGTCTTATCAAAGGACTAGAAAGTTGAGGGATAGTTGCTCAAACCCATTCACTGTTTGACAATCCCATCAGGCTCATGTAAAAATCCAACAGGGATTGGATATTAATCAGAGGTAATTGATATTTGAATGAGGTAACATCACCCTTGAACACTGTAGTACCAGGTATACTAGAACTACAGTAGGAACTCGAAGCAAAGAGCACTACCCAGTATATGACCATTGACACAGCTGATGCATTTTTTTCCATTTCCCTGGCTCCTGAGTGTAAACCACAGTTTGCCTTTACCTGGAGAGGAGTACAATATGCCTAGAACCTTCTGCCACAAGGATGGAAGCATAGGTCATATGTCATGGACTTGTACAAAAGGTTTTGGAAGAGGGCAGTGCCCCAGTACGCTTACAGTACATTGATGACATTGTAGTATGGGGAGGTGTATAACACCATGCCCATGAGGTGTATAACAAAAGCAAAGAGATAATTAGAATTTTACTAAATGCAAGATTTGTGCTTAAAAGAGGTAAGGTGAAAAGACCTGTGCAAGAAATAGTTTCTTGGTGTCAAATGGTGCTGTTGGATTCCTGCTGATGTGATTTACAGCATTGCAGCAATGGCAAGGGGAGGTCACAAGAGAGCATGGAGAGTAGACGTGGAAAGAGTTCATCCAGTAAGTGCTCTGCAGGTGTGAGCAGGAGCGGTTTCCCAACCTGAGGAGGTCCCAGTATAAGAATCCCCTGCAGGGACAGGGAGCATTGGCTGTGGGCTGTTGTGACCCTGTGCTGCAGTGCACTTGCAGTTGTGTAGGGCCCACTGTTCTGAGGGTGTTGGGAGGTCACTGATGCACATTCCACTTCCACCCTTTATGCAGAAGGGACACAGTTAAACCAGGCTTGGACACTTATCACCAGGTTAAGGCTCTGTGACCCAGTAATATAGGGGTATGAACTGTCCCCGATTCCCATGCTTCAGAGAGTCACCCGTGTTCTACAAATGACCCCTATGCCTGCTTGGAAAGAAGGTGCTGGTATCTCTGTTGAATCTGAGGCCAGAGTTACAAAAGACTTGGTGAAGCTGGCATTATAGGTCCTGCTGGAGTCCAAGATGTCCATAAGTCTACGAAGGCCTGCACAGCAATGAAGCAGTAGCATTGCAATTTATAGTTGTCCCAAGCTGACTTTTCCACAATACAGGAATCCAGAGCTCAAGGCCCTGGGTGATGCCATCGATGTCACCCATGCAGAGTATTCAAAAGAAGAGATTCTGAGAGGGTGCCTCAGAGGCCTTGATCCTGACTGTCTGTGGAGAGCTTACCCCAAACTGATGAGCTGCTGACCAGTAGAGTTGAGGGTTGTCAGGCTCTTCTAGGTCATAGTCACTCTACAGAGCAAAAGTACAGTAACTGATCATTCTGCATCCCAAGGACTATATGATACAGCTGCTCTGAGCTCATGTCTGGTTGACTGTGAACAAAGTAGTCCTAGTGGCTGGGATTCCCAAAAGATCATTCTACCTATATTTTTCCTCAGAGAAAAGGAAGCCTGAGAGGTGGATGTCCATTCATTCAAAGTGTTGTCCCAGAATAGCTACTGAGGTCATAGGACTGAATCAGTATTACTTCCCTTTGTGGTTCTTTGCAGCGGATATTGTCCATTGGTGGACTGAGGGACAGTATCATGTCACTTACAGGTGGGATAAATGAAGTGGCAGCAAGGCTTTTTTCTATGTGTTGTGTTAAACTGATGGTGATGGTTGGATCAGTAATGTGCTACTGTGATTTGTACAAGGCTGATGAAAGAACAGTGTGATGATTCCTAAACGGGCCTTGACATAAGAAAGCAAAAATCTGAGGAAGGGGCCTTTCCTTCAGAAAACTTGTAAATGAGTGCAAAGCATGGATGTGTTGGTCTGTGGGTTGGAGTGAACTAGCTGAACTGCATGTAATGGAAATATGGGGAGCCTCAGTACCAACTCTTTTGATGTGTTTACCTGTTCCTGCTATGCCAAATTCTTTGTTAATGTATGTGTGCCTGTAAATTGTTTCTGAGTACTTTTATTATGTATTCTGCAACAAGTGGAGCCCACTGTGCTGAGCAGTAAATGTAGAGTAGAAGTTGACTGTGAAAGTAGTTGTGAAACTTGATCATGTGGCTATAGCTACTTTGCTCAGTGCAACACAAAGCAGATTGCATCCCGGCTCAGAATGAATATAACTCTACTTCCAGTGTAGACACTTTCACTTGTTTTAATTTTTTCCCCAGTTAACTTCTGTGAATAATGACATGAGGTTGAATTCAGAATGGTGGTTTCTGTATATTTAATGCAATATTTTGCTTCAAGCGTTTTTTATGTAATCCTTTGTAATACATATGTTTATTTATATTTGCATAGTTACAACATATATACACACTATGTCATATATACTTTTTTTAACATATTTGCAGAGTTGCTGATCCTGTATGGCCAATTATACCTCAGACCTTCTGGGAAGATTAATAGAGTCTTGGTGGCTAGGATAATTCACACACTTATGAGGGGGTACTGCTTCCAAACTGATGGATTGAGTTCTGATATGTTTATCTTCTTTTCAAAAGCAATGCAGTATGCAAGGTAAGTTGCAAGTGCTCCTCTTGTTTGCTAATACTTACTTTTAGAGAATAACTCATTTTAAGTATTTGGGATTAGACTTGAGTAATAGCAGGTAATACCTCTTTAGACATATTTGGTTCTGTCTTTGAACACCAATTTAATAAATTCTTTAAAATATTAATAACTTCTGCATTTATTAGGCAAATAATATTCTGAATATGGTTACTTGCTAGTATTTACATTCAGACAATTCCTGTGAAAAGAAATAAGATGATTTCTTCTGGAAGTGTGAGTGTTTGGTTTATGTTGCAGGCAGGAAAAGAATACTGCAGGCCTGGATCATATTGTTGGAGCAATGAATATCTTCTGCAATAAGTTTGCTGTCAACTGTCGCATACGGATTTGTAAAGTAGGGGAAGAAATTTTGCCTACAGTGCTTTATATATGGACTCAGTATAGACCAAAGGATTCTCTGAAGGAGTCAGTAATTGAGTTATTTCGCCTCCAAGTTCGTATTCATCATCCAAAGGGTGCAAAAACTCAGGGAAAAGGTACAATAAAAAGCTCCCTGTTTTGTTTTTTTTTATCACTGTATGTGATTGTTCAAATTATTTTGCCAGCTTTCTGAATTTTGATACTGAGGCTTGGAAACATTAATGGGAGTGATGATTACTTGTCAGTAGTTTTATGCTATAGGTTAATATCGAGTGAAAGTGAAAATGAGGTTTTCAAATTGTATGCACTAAGAGAATATTAATTGTGTGAAGTCCTAAAGACATTGATTGGTTGGTTTTTTTTATCAAAAGGTGATTTTAATTACTAAATCAAAACACGAAGTCTTTGGGGAATGGAAATAATAGTTTAGACTGAGTTTAGAGTGCCACATGTATTCATATCGTACCAGGTTTATTTAAACCCAGAAATTACTACTATGGTCTAAGTCTGACTCTACTGTGTAAAACTTATCAGAGAACATGACTCAGTAATTGTGTTTGCCTGTCATGGCCTATTTCAGTTATAGCATCATTTTTTTAAAAAGGTTTGGTTTTTTTGTTTGGTTTTTTTTTTACTTTGTCTACAAATGACAAAGAGTTTATAATTAGTCCAAATTTATCCATTGCATATCATTGTAGTCTTTCCAGTTAGATAAAGAATTGTTTATTAGAAACTTCGTTCCTACCCTCATTACTTATATACGCTGAGTAAATTATCTCTTAACTTTTTTCACTTTTTACTTCATTCATTCTCCACTATAAGACTTGTTTTGCAGGCCTGTGTTTAAGCTTTGTATGCTTTACTCTGATTTCGGCTGTATTTTGTGCTGTCTAGGTAGGTTTGTGTGTTGTATCAAGTGGGTGTTACACGTTATCTTTTAATTGTTTTTGCGCATTCAGGTGCATATGACTCGACAAAATGGCAGAGTATCTTGCATAACCTGTATGATCTGCTGGTGAATGAAATAAATCTCATCAGTAGTAGAAGAAAGTATTCTTCAAGCTCACGTAATATTGCTTTAAAGGAAAATATGATTGAGTTAATGGCTGATATTTGTCATCAGGTAACTTTTATTTGAATATAAAGTTGACTATATATTTACTGTGTTGTATGTTTTGCTTTTTAAAGTAATATGGCTTTAGCATTTCCTCAAAATCATTTACTGAAGTCTTAGTACCTTTTGTCTGTGTTCTGTTGTGTTTAGTTGCTAATTTTTGTGCAGTTTAGAAATGTGTGGACTTCTAAATTATACTAGGTTTCACTAGTGTTGCTTATTAGACTATAAGCCGAGGTTCTGTTATAGTAAAGAATAATAAATAATACTTCTGGTAGCCTCTTAAGAGGCTTTATACGCAGTGAAAAATGGACTGGTTTAGTTTGATGTTTCAGTTTTCCTGTAAATACTACTTTTTTTTAATTTGTGTACTTTTTAATTTCTCTTTACAAAAGGTTTTTACAGAGGATACCAAAGTTCTGGAAATTACCCAGTCATATGATGTTTCACAAAGAGAGTCCAGTGATGAAACAGTACTAAGCAAGCGCAGAAGGATTGAACTAGGCTGGGAGGTAATTCGAGACAACCTTCAAAGATCCCAAAAGGATTTTGATGTCATACCTTGGTAATAACATCTTTACATGAAACAAATATCACTACAGACATCTTTTTACATTTAAGTGTTCTCCTGAATATGTTGTGCTTTCAAATTAGGTGTCAGCACATGCTTGTAATTAAGCTTAGCTTCTCACAGCATTTGGAAAGTAGTGAGTAGTGTTCTTGGCACTCTTGCTTTAAAAACTTTTGGTTTCCTAAGAAATAACAAATGAGGCCTGGTAAACTGTGTTGTAGTGTATAAGATATTACTGCCTCTGGTTTTTTTACCTGTCTTTTGTGCTAGATACTACCAGTCTTTATGTAAGGGTATTTTGTTTGACATGAGGAACTTCTGAACTGGAGGTATAGCTACACATTTTCTTCCACTGACTGCTGCAGAAGAAGGAGCCTGTAGCAGAGAGCATAGCAGGGAGTCAAGTTGTTGTTAAAAGACCACAGTTAGACTTTTCCAGAACCTACCAGTTGTAGTCCTAAGCCTAAGAATGTTGATGTTTTAGCTAAAATAGATTACACTGGATGTTTTTTGCTGTTACTGTTCCTCTCTGTTTTTCTGACTTTCTTGGAAACTGCTGTACAAGATACCAGAACAGTGTAGCTGCTTGTGAATTGGGCCCTGAGCTGGGGCAGCAGGTGTGTGTGTGTGTGTGTGTGTTCATTGCTTGCAGTGTTGAGACAAAATAGCTGTTTAGGATCCAATTGAGAAGTTAACATGCCATTCTGTGTGGAGGTGGCAATCTCTAAGAAATACTGAGTGCTGTAATTTACTAATTTGAGTAGAGTTGCAACTATTACTATGAGCAAAACCCTTCCAATTTACCATCCCTAGCTTAACATTTTATTCATTTGATAAATTTTATTTTTCTTATCTGCAGAGAGGATGTTGTAATGTTTCCTGTTTATGGAATTTCATCCTTGAGGTCACTCCCCAGGTCAGAGTGTATAACAGGCTAGTCTGGAAGGAGAAAAATAATGGTTTTGCCTGAAATCTTCTTCCCTTGTGGTCAGAAATCAGTGAACTCAGCTTGTAAGAAATTATTAGTGATAGTGAGGCTAGATGAGCAGACTTTACAAATAAATACAATAGAAATACTGAATCTTTAACCTTTGATAGTAAACAAATTAGTTCAATACTGGAAAGTATAAATGTGAAATGGCAGTCGGAGAACGCTTTGTTTGTTCAGTTACTTTTGAAGACACAAATTTATGTATATTTCATATTAATTGCTTTATTTTGTGTTTTCAAGGTTACAGATTACAGCTCAATTGATATCGAAGTATCCCATGAGTCTTCCTAACAGTGAGCTACCTCCCTTACTCAATGTACTTCACCAGTTACTGCCTCAGCAGCGCCGAGGAGAAAGGACCCCATATGTGCTGAAGTGTCTTACGGAGGTAGCTTTGTGTCAAACCCAGAAAACTGATTTGAAAAGCACCCACAAATTGGAGCTCCAGAGAATCTGGGCAAAGATTTGGTCTCTTACCATTCGTAGCATAAGTTTCCAGCAAATTGAAGTGGAGAGCTTTGGGCTACTTGGAGCTATGATTCAAGGAAACCTTGTTGTAACAGATAAAGAACTCTGGAAGATATTTTCAGGACCTGCATGCAAGCCTTCAAGGTAAAATGGGAAGCAAGGATAATATTTTGTGACTGATTCACATTGCTCGTTACTGTGCAACCAAAGCCACTGTATTGTTCAAAATAATATTATTGTTGTTGTGGCTGTATTTCTAGTTAAGAATTGCTTACGTTTTGCATTTTAAGCATTTGAAACGAGCATAAATACATATGTAAGTCTGAAAGCAGAGGCAGAAGAGGAGAGGCAAGCATCGTCAGATTTAAAATTGACTAAAAATATTAAATGGACTAAAAATTTAAAAACTGGCTGAAAGAGATGTTGATTTTTTGAAGTTAAAAAGTATGTTTTCTTCTAAATATATTTTGATTCTGAAATGAGTATGCTGGAACAGTCTTTAAAATAGACAGGAAATGTCTGTAATAGCCAAAATGTGGCTTTTGAAAATGCAAAGATTCTAACAAAGAAGTTTTCCAGTATGCGTGCTTGTTAACTTGCTTATGTACTTGATGCTCCCTGAGCATGCAGAAATACTGACTTTGCTTTAGAGTGCTGATCAACAAATACCATATTGTTTCTCACAAATGTCCTGTGTTCCATTTTTGTTACAGTTCTGCTGTATGTTGTTTATCATTAGTGATGTCTGCCTATTCAGTGCCAGAAAATTTGGACATAGGAATGGAACAGAGTAATTGTGAAAGAAATATGGATTCTGTGTTAAAGGAGGCAATAATGAAGTGGGTACTGTCCTGCTATTTGGAGGAAGAAATGGAAGAATGTGCAGAGTTGCCTCCTGTGCTCTGCAGGTAAAGTCTTGGTGCCATAATTTTATATGTAAGCTCAGCCTATAACACAGAAAATTGCCCAGGGAAAAGTAGATTTGCAGGATTGTGTTATGTTAAAGCTTTGGTAGAGTTTATAGGGTTTTTAAGCCTACTGTAGAATGTCATTCTGGGGACATAATTTAGTTGTCTGTCTATAGCATAGCAGATACATGAACTATGTGTTAGAAATTGTAAGTGAAGACTTAAACTACTTTGAAGATACATTGTTAATCTGGTTAATGTTTAGGCGTGCTTCAGGAATCTGAAGAGCTTGTCTGATTGCAAGAAAATACAAAACAATTTTCTTTTTTTACAGTGATTTTCCTCATCTTATATTACAAAAAATTCTTGTGAGCCTTACAATGAAGAACAGTAGAGCTGCCATGATTTTTTTCCAAAATGATGTTAAATGGTATGTTTTTAAATCAATCATTACAGATACTTAAGCTTCTTATATTTTTCATTTTAGCAAGCAGAGATAACGAAATGCATAATTCCTCAAGCTCTTTTGCATCTTTCTGTACGACATCTTTCAGACGCCATAAAAATAATAGTGCTTTTGCAATTTGCTAACATGCTGTGAGCAGACATTAAAATAGTCTCTTGCTGACAGAGTCAAAGCTTCAGGTACTGAACAAAACACCTTATAAGGAATATGTGTAACATCTCTCTTCAGCAATACATCTAAGTATTTGGCTCTTTATCCGTAAGTACATTAGGTATTTTTAATTCATTACAATTACAGTTTTCAAGTAACTTGTAACTTTGTATGAATATATATTAATGCTTTTTAACATTACCTTCCATTCTAGAGTAAGCATATATCTTAAGAGTTTTCTTGTAGATAGATGCTAAGTAGAAAGTTGGCTAGATGCTTGCTGTACATATGTCCCCATGCCACTCCACCTATATTTGTGGCCCCAGCCACACATTACTTGAGTCTGTTGGAGTCACTCTATGAATGCTGTTGCATCTTTCACTGATGGATATGTTCAAGCTCTTGGACTGTATCTAGGTTCCTGTTAGTGAAACTAAAATGTGTATAACTTGTTCTGGTGGAAAATAAGACTTTCTTACTAGAAGTTAAAAATACTAGTTTCAGGGGTTTTGTGAATTTCTGCTCCACTTGTGTAAAGTAGGTTGAGGTCATCCATCTTAACACAAAACAGATGCTGCTTTATGAACTATAGTAGATCATATGATCTGTGTGCAGGCTTTGTTTTTCCTTGCAGTTTCTTCAGACAGAACTAAAGTGGTAGTATCCATTCCACAATGAAGTCACATCAGAAATTAAAGATCAACCAGAGTTTGGAAGCACAAAAAGATAAAATATTTTAATTTGCTTTTGTTTATTCTTGTATTTAAATAATAGTTTCAACGACTTCTATATATATGGTCGTATACTGGCTGATAAAGTAAAAATGATGTCTCTTCTTCAAGTGTGCAACACTTGCAAGGGAGAGAAGATGACGATTTTTCTGACGTTGAAGAGCTGTATCTGCAGACAACATTTGATGAAATGGATATTTTCACTAACTTTGCAGTAAATGTTGCAGAGAAAAATGTGACTGGTTCAAGACTTGCCATCAATCAAAATCTTAGGGAAACACTGGAGCACTGTCTCTTAGCAATGTCAGAAAAGCTTTTAAGCAGCTATGCTCCTAAGGTAAGTTAGAAATTACTGTTACATCCTTGTATTTGTGCTCTCAAACAATATATTTTCAAGGCAATGTATATAGATTTTCATTCCTTTGCTGGAAAAAATGAACCACAAGCATTTTAAAAACTATATCCAATAATATGAAATAGAGAAGTCTGTATTTTTTACATCATTGGCAAAATATCCATAGTTTTCATAAGTGTGTGGGAATACGTAGAGGCTGCATAGAAGTGGAAGTGTGTGCTAAGTTGCCACATAAACCATGGTTACCCTGCTTTTTGTGATGTTGGTTTCAGCTTCTGTGCCCCTGTAATGCTTTAAGCTCTTGCCAGTTTTCAGCCAAGATAGCTGGAGACATAGAGGTCTCAAACAGATTTTGTAAGAAGAGGCAGCTGTGTAAAAGGGTAATTGTAAAGAAAGCTGCAAATACAGGCTATATTAATGAGCACAGCCACTGCTCAAGGGAACTGATTATATCCCTCTACTCGGTGCTTTTAGATGGTATCTGAAATACTGCTTCCAGTTTTGGGCTTCCCCATACAAGACAGACATTTAGTGCATTCAGTGGAGGCTACTGAGGTGGTGTGGGTTCCAGCACTTGACCTGTGAGGAGACACAGGGGAAACTGGGCTTGTTCAGCCTGGAGCAGAGATGTCTTTGGGGAGACCTACAGACTTTGGGGCAGCCTGCCAGTGCCTATAAGATTGTCTAGAAGACAGAACCATGCTCTTCACAGTGGTGTATTGCAAGAAGATGAGAGGCAGCAGGCAGAGTCAAGAGAAGTTCACACTGGATACAAGAATAATTTTATCTACGTGAGGACAGTCAGTCAGTGGCATAGGTTGCCCTGCCTGAGAGGTTGTGCAGTCTTCATCCTTGGAGGGTTTCGAGCCCTGACTGGATCAAGCCTTGAGTAACCTGGTCTGACCTCAGAAATGACCCAGCTGTGAGCAGGAGGTTGGACCAGAGACCTGCTGAGCTCCCTTCCAGCCTGAACTATCCCGTGAATCTATTTGTATCTTCCACTTGTTGAAACACCGCAGAATCTCTCCTTTGGAGAAAAATCTTGACTTGTGGAGGAAGAGCCACCACATAATGATAAAGTTTGTGAAAACAAAAGCAGCAGGCTTTTTAAACTTCCAGTTCTTTTGACAGGCTAGCTTTGGTTTTAATATAGCAGTGTGCCTTCCTTGTCCCTGGTTTTGCATCTGTAACAATGGCATGTATGCATAAGTTTTCCCATCTTTTTTTATAGATACTTGCTTTTCAAAAATGTGATAGCAATCGGTTTTGGTCTCCCTTCCTGAGAAAGTAAGACAAAAAATTATTTGTCTGGTCTTTCTCCTCCTTTGATCCAAATAATTTAGACAGGTAAAAAGGGATCTCTGAAATGCTCCTGCAGTAAGCTTGCATGCATTTACAACCATCTATGTCATTTGTTTGTTGACACAGTAGCTGCTAAGAAGTGACTTACAAATTTACTAAGATCAGAAGAGACAGCAGTAGGAATGTGATATAATTCCTGACTAGCTCATACTGTCTCTTGTCCTGGCAGGAGGTAAAATAGATAAACAGAGCATGTGGGAAGAGCTGGAAGTATTGCTATGATAGAATCTAAACAAGAGTGATAATTTAAAGTATTGTGAAGGAAGGAAGTGTAAGGGCCATGGGACATAAAGAGAATATTATAACGTGGAGAGCCAAAAGGACTTGTTAGGGAGCTGAGGCAACTGCAATGCAAAACACTAGGATGCAAATCTTCATTGATTTTGGTGAAATCTGTATATAAAAATGTTTAAAAAAGACTAAAGAATTCTGTATTTTGGTGAAAAGTTTAATGATAAACCACTGGTGTTTATACTGTGTATTTCATTTAGTTTAAGGTTGTCGCTGCAGAACACTTTGTCCGATGCATCAGTCTCTTGATTGGTGTTCTTGGTTGCTATTGCTACACTGGTATATTTAAAGAAGAGGATGCCTTTAAATCAGAGTTGTTTCAGAATGCTAGGGTAAGCGGCAATGTGTTTGGGAGCTATTAAAAATTAAATAAACCATTAAATAGAAAATATTTTTTTAAATTCTATTCATATTGACACATTTACAAAGTATGAATATTTCCACTGGTTTCTGCTTTAAAAAAGGCAGTTGAGAGAGGTTTAAATATGTTACTGCTGCTGAAAGAGAGGAGTCACTGAAATTCTGTCAGTACACTAAAGCATCAGTTTTGCAGTGGAGAGTATTCTAAATTTTGATACATTTCTGAGTCACCCCTTTTAAAAAAATAAAATAATCATGGACATGTGGACAAAGGACTACTTAGAGGATAAGAAGTCCTTTCTTTTGTAGGTCTTTTATTCAGGAATTTGTTACGATCATTTGATGGTTCAAACTGGTATGATGATAGCTACTATTATTAATATTACTACTACTACTCCTGTCTGAGGTGGTTTCTTGCTTAAATATGGAAACCCAAAACTTAAACATTATGGAGAGAGACTGTATTTTTCATTTGTGATGAAAATAACAATGTTTCAGGCAGGTGTAGGCCATCTTTTTGTCACTTCTGGAGCACAGTGAGTGAAACAAAAATTTAAAAAAAAAAAAGTCCAGACTCATTGATGCACACAATAAATATCAAAGCTGTATATTTATGAATGACTATGAATGAGAATCATGTCCTTTTGTCTGTGTGTGTGCACTGTGTATATGCCAATGTATAAAGGAATTTAACTGAGGTATTTTAATTGTGTTGTATTTTTACTAGTCTCTCATTCATTATGCCGGAGAAAGCATTTCTCAGTCTAAAAACAAGCTAAATGAAGATGCCCAGATCAGTTCACTGAGGACTTTGATAATACAGTGTACAAAATGTTTATGCAATTGTACCAAGGTAAAGTTTATAAAGGAATTTATATTTCTTTATTCATTAATGAGGTCACAAAGTTGAATATCATGCATATGGTACCTGAAAAAAATAAAATAACCTGTCTGTACATCTTGCTTTCTTACAGAACAGTGCTAATAAGATGCTGTCTAATATATTCCTGCGTTTGTTAACATCAAAATTTATGAATGATCTTGTAGATATTTGTAAAAATCTGGTAAGTACGTTCTGTCCATTTCTAAATGCAGTGCTCTTCTATGAGAGGATTGTTTTTACAGTATAATAATTTGGAGGCAAACCAAATGAGATACTTATTACTGAAAAATTCCTAACTGGAAACACTTCTGTCTAACATTTGAACACAGCTGTAGGGGAAAAACGAGAGCAGATGGATAACATTTGATCAAAGTTAGCATGCCAGCTCACATTAAAAAAACAAAGTATGTTATTTTTGGAAATTTGTTAATATGGTATTAGAGTAAAAGTATATGCAGATTTTATGCCACAGAAAGAATTTCTGTAACGCATGACATTTAACTTCAGTGCACTTTTAAAAGTTTTAAAAGCTTCTTTTTATTTTGTAGTTTGATGGACTTATGCCTTAAAACACTTTAAAGGTGTTTTTTATATGGGTATTAAATCTTCTAACCGTAAATGACTCGCTGAGAAAAGTTATAGGGTGGCACATCACTGTGTTTAGCACAAGTCTTAAAACTTCTCTTTTTGGCACGTTGTCGTGTAGTCAGGTCTAGGTAGATAAAATCCTTTGTTTTTTCAGGTGAGGAGAAGCTGAGAGTATTACCTTCTGTTAACTTGTCATCTGATAGGGAAAGCAGTAATTAGTGTGGCCTCAAAAAGGTCATATGCCTTCCTTTCATTTCTCTGTAATTATGAAGTACAGTGAGAAGTTTGTAAGTCTTGTAGAGAGCATTATTTTTCAAATACTAACAATGTCCTTGGCACCATCTAAAACGCAGAGACTAGTATCTGTCTTAAGAAGCTTGTATCCTAAAGAGAATAGTTCAAATCAAACAATTCATGTGTGTAGAAGACAAGTTTATCACAAAGGATTCAATTCATCAATTCATCGTAGCCCTTATTGTCTTCACCTGTTCTAGTTCACTGGGAAACTGTAGTGTCTTGCCTTGTGTTATGTTTGTGGTGTTTCTCCTGTCCTTAAAAGCCAGTTTTAAAATGATGTGGTGTTTTTGTTAGATGACATTTACTGGAAAAGCAAGTGAACTGGGAGAAGTGGATCTAATGGGAAATGATCCTGAAGAGAGTGTAATGGAAGTAGATAACCAAGTATCTGATGATCTATTTGATGATCATTCAGTGACTGACATCAGTGACTCAAATGAATCTGGTGAGATGCAAAATGTAACAGGTAAGTCTTCTCCGTGTCCAAAACTATTTGCAAAAGCTTGTTTTTACAGATTGCTCTTTGCTTGAAAGACAGTGAGATACAAAACTGTGCTGCTTTATTGAAGAAGTTGAAGCGAGTAGTGGTTGAACTAGGTACTTTCTAAACAATAATAATTCTTTTGTACCTCATTAGGTTTTAAAGATGTTAATGAAGTGTTCTAGCTCCTTTGGAAAGGAGAAGTTTATTTTTTATTTTATAAATATTAAATGCAAGCAGAGAAGCTAGCTAACTTGCTTGAAGTCAGGCAGAAGTTTTGGCAAAGAAGGGGCTAGAAAGTGTGTCTGTAGGATACCTGTCTCTGTCATTAGACTGTGCTTAATTTTCTTAAAAGTAGTTCTATTTAACTTTACTCATTTTTGTGATCAGTAATTCTTGACAAGGTCAGCTTTCTTACATCTCTGGACCTGCAGAGGGACAGGAGCATGAATCTGTCTGTTTATGCCTATAGGAGCTACAAGTATTGATGTTGTCTTCTGTTTTAAATTCTTTCTTAAAATGGTGTGTATCTTAGTTTTTAATCAGAACTATGTCTTCTGTTTATTATTGAATGGAAAGGAAATCAAGGTGTTATATTAATGCCACAAACAGCAGCTGCTCTGTTTTCCCCATCATGTTGAATAAGTGTCTTTAAAAGTATCTTCTCCAACCATCCAATAAATAATTCTAATAAATAAAGTTTGCAGTTGCAGAAAGTTACAAGAGTTCTAAATGTGACCGGAAAATGGTATTTGTAACTATTTCATTTAGGTTATAATTGAAATTTCAATGAGGATATTAATATAGTAGTAGTTGCCATCATTTCAATTTTGGGGAAGCTTTGAATCCGTAGTTTAAAATACATCCTAAGTTATAGTTAACAACACAAAAGAACACAGCTGCAGATGGTTCTGCTGAGTTCATTGTAACCTTGATGGAGGAATCAGCCTTATGTATGGGCACATAAAATTAAAAGCCTCTGTTTTAGAGAGGGCCTTTGTAGAAGTGGGAAACACACTCAAAAGGCTGCTACTGATGCAGTAACTGTTCAACAACAAATAAACATAAAGGTTGCTAATACTCTATTCTGCGAACTTTTAATTAGTTTTGTAAAGACCTAAAATATTATCAACTTTTTTATTGTCCTTGTAGAAGCATTTCTTACATGAAAACCTTATTTGCAGGTGCTTTGAGCCCATTAGCTGAAGAACAGTTGACAAAGCAGGATTTACTTCTCCTTGAAATTCTGAGGTTCTTATGTATTTGTGTAACTACAGTCCAAGTTCAGATGGTGAGCTTCCGAGCCTCTGATATACGGAGACAGCTGTTAATGCTTACTGATGGCAGTGTCTTTGATAGTGCTAAGCCATTGCATCTGCACATGGTGAGTGTGAGATTTTTTTGCAGCAGACCCACCCCTGTATTTGTACTGGTTTGTATATTCTTGTCAATTGTATATTCTTGTCTTTCTCTTGTCATCAGTCCCCTGAGAAGACATTAAAATGGCTACTTTTAGCGTTTTGAAGTGTGCTATGGTCAGGGAAAGAGCAGTTAGAATTTGTAAGCCAGAAAATAAAGACTTGAGAAGTATAAACATCTTGCCTTTATCATTAATTATTTGTTAAATATCTAGAAATGCTGTCTGTAGTAGAATATGATCTGTGGTTTAGTTTACAAAGGAAATATTTTTGACTGCCAAAACTAAAAATTTCATGAGCCGTGTTGCTGTGTGACAGTCTTTGCATGAAAAGATGGTCAGAGTCTAGCATATAAGAGCTGACAATAGGTATCCTTGCTGCTGATTTCATGTAAGAGTTACTGAAAATGTTTTATAGTTTTTGTCTACTTATTTTCTTAAGCGTTATTTTCCTTTTTTTTTTTTTTTTTTTTTTCCCCAGTCCTTGGTCCTTTTGAAGGAGCTCCCTATTGAAGAACACTTCTTGCCTGAAGACGATGTTCTTATGCTTCTTAGGCCTCTTTCGTAAGAGAGAAACTATTCAGCATGTATTAGAGCTATTTTAGTTGAACAGCTAGAGGATTTGGGGGCTGCTTAGTGTTTCAAGATTTTTTTTTTCTTTCTTCCTGTCGCAGTGCTGTGTGTTCTATGTACCGTCGAGATCAAGAAGTTTGCAAAGTAATTCTAAATAACTTGCTTCCTATAGCAGTAGGGTTGGCCCAGTCCAGCGCACATACTGAAGAGACAGGGGATGCCCAAGGACAATTTTCGACAGTTGTTGGAGCCTTTTGGTACGATTTATCTATTTAATGCAGAAGTCTATTGGACATAAAATTTTTAACTTTGCTATCAGTGTGAAGACTGTAGTGCCATTTTGTGTCTTGCTCTTGGTATCTTATGATATCTTTATACAGCATTTAACTTTCTAGATTTTCTGTGTCATGTTATATTTGTATCAAAGAATTGTATCATCGTTAATATAGTATTAGAACAACAAATGCTACACTGTTATATATTAACAAAGACTGATTATACTCTGAATTGCATCAGTAAATGTAACAAGTAATAACTTCAGCAACCAAAAATGAATATTGTTTACAATTGTAGATTATCAATAAAACGTCAAATCCTCCGAAACATGCCTGTTGAGTACAAAAGAATGAACTGTAAGCAGCAGAAACTAACTTGTTAGACTTTTTCTCAAAATTGTTGGCCACTTTTTCGTTTATTCAGTTCTTCCTTGTTTTAGGCATTTAGCTCAAGGAGGGAAATGCACAGCACCAGTAAGAGTGGCCCTTTTAAACTGCATGAAAGCCCTGCTTGAGGTAATCCCAGATTTTCTGACATTCATTAGCATGTTGATCTTTTGTGTACATCAGTGTATATTCCATTGTAGGTCTTCTGTATATTTTAAACCACAATATTAATTTTCTTCAGGCTGATCCTCATTGCAAGTGGGTGATCCTTAATGTGGTAAATGAAGATCTACCTGTGAGTGGTGCTTTCCCACATTTTCTTGCAGATAGTCACCATCAAGTTCGCATTCTTGCTGCAAAGTCAATTACCAGGTGATAATGTTGATCTTTTTTCTGTTTATAAGAATAACACTTAATTTCACTTAATGGGGTGTTACTTCTGCTGCTATATAGCTGCTCTTTTCAGTACTTCTGGGGCTTTAATCTTGATGGAATATAAAAGCCTACTGAGTTACTTTGGTTAAGGTTTTCAAACTTTGTCTACGTTTCAATTATTCTGTGATGTGAGAGATATATGTATATAGAGAGATAAACTATATATATGATAGCAGATTTTGCACTAAATTTATTATGCAAAACTTGAATAGGAAATAGTTGTTTATCCTCTAGAAATAGATTAGGTACACTGTGTAGCATAAAAACTTTTTCAAAGGATCTTGTGTTTTGAATACTGTATATAGTTCTTTTGCCATACATCAAAAACGATGTAATAGAACTGGAATAGTAGGAGAGGGGGGATATTCAGAAGTATGAAACACTTTATGCACAGCTATTGGTTGCATAAACTGGAGCCCTTCAGCACAAAAAGAGTTGAATTGCAGGAGGTATAGCATAACTCTACAAAATATGGAGAGGAACAAAGAGAAGATTGGCAGTCTTTTCCAGTTTGAAGACTAGGAGACATCAAGTGAAGCTAACAGGTTCAAGATTCTAAGAAAATATGGTTTACTTCTTTGTATAATATTCAGTTACCCGAAGTGTTATCCTACTACTTTGAACTGTCTGGATGTTTGCAAGGGTTCAAAAAGCAACAAATTCACGGAAGAGGAAATCATTGAAGGATAGTAAATACGGTCACCACTTCTAACTGCCTAGGTCACTAGTGGTCAAATGTTATATTCAAAGAATTATTATGCATATAAGGCAAGCATATGGTGCTGTTTCTTAGGTATCTGCTAATAGTTACTTAGAAGTGGCTAGAGAAACATTTGGTCAGATCCACTGTGGTGTTCTTATTACAAAGAGCAAAGTGGGTTGGGCCTTTATCTACAAAAAATAAATTCTTTGAGAAACTTTTTACATATGCATCTCTTCAGTAAATATATTCTCAAAGTACTTCATGACATGAAATGTTCTATTATGATGGACAACTGAAGTTTGGCTTCCTGCATTGGCAGAGATTGGAAAACTTTTGTATGTTTTCAGGCTATTCTCCACCATTCCATCCCAACAGATTTTCTTAGTGTTATTGATAATGTTTGAGGGAGAGGAAAGAAAGACCGCTGTACAAGAAAGTTAAGAAGAAAATAATGATATTCAGAAAATCAGAATGTTATTATTTGATACACACAATATGCAGTCATTCTGTAGACTAAATGTTATGCTAATAATTATTGTTCTTTTTTTGAAGTTTGTTTCAAGATGTGAAACACAAAGATTCTTCTGGAATGTCAAAACCTCTTCCCTTGAAGCTCCAGCAAAAGGCTTTTGAGAATGCATATCTCAGAGTTCAGGAAGGAATGAGAAATCTGGTACCAACATCTAGTTATTAGTTTTGCCTAGTTTTCATCTTAGGAATAAGACGACTTTTAAAATGATCGTGTTTAGTTTTCTGAGAACATTAATTTTTCTGGGCTTCTGATAATCTGAGGTGGTGAAATGAGGTTGTAGTCAGGAAATTCCTTACACATCTAGTCGGTCACTGTTTTGCCCACAGTAGAAGTTTGTAGATTTTTTCACTGTATGTTCCAGACTGCTCTTCTGTATCATACTATTTGTTGTTGCGGGTTTCAGTACTGTAACACTTAAGAATCAAAGAAAAATGGAGCCTTGATATTGTAGACAATATATAAATAGTGAGTAAAAGGCAATGTAAGTTCAAATTATGTGTATACATAGTATAAAAACAGATTTGTAAATTTCAGAGATCATGTTTCCAGTGGTATTAGAGCAGTAGTTTTCACAAAACCAAAATTTGCTTAAAAAATTAAACTATTTGGAAGAAACTTCAAGTGAAGGAAAAGTTTTACTTCAGTGTAGTGACTGGAAATGCAATGGTGTATATTACTGTGGAATTTCTTTAACTGTTAATGTTTCTGTTAGTGTCTTTCACTTCTCCTTCCTTGCTACCATGCTAAGTCATCTATATAATTTTCCATTGTTTTTTCTGTCATGCTATCATCTATATGCATGTCATCTCTCTGTGGTGTTTTCTCTCTGTTCCCTTTGCCTGATGTCTTGTAACTTGAGCTCGCTGCTGAGCCCTCATCTCTCTGTCATCTCATTTCATCCCTCTGTAGTGTTGCCTCCAGCTCTTTCCTAGAGTTCCTAGGCAGTTCTTTCCTATATGCATCAGGGAGGAGCAAAAAGGAGACTTGTCTCATCAATGCCTCTATCATTTCCCTGTTAAGTGTGTCACCTTTGTTTAAACTTTCGATACTATAACATGACCTGGAGTGTATGAGGTATTGGCATGTGTGCTGGCATGCTGGAGGCAGTAACTTCTCATTGAGGAGTGGAGCAGACAGCTGGGAGAAGTAATTTTTAAGCAACCAAAGCAAGATTTTCAGCAGTATTTATGTCAGTGCTCTTAATTTTAAAATATTTGTGCTCATTTATTAATTAGGAGATTGCTTTAACATAATATTTGTACGAGTTCTTCATTATTTCTTATTGAAGGTCAGGGGTGATGCTGGTCCTGAAGATCTTTTGGACAAACAGTGTAATGGAAAAGCGGTTTTGCTGATGCTTATAACCATGGTTCTGTGCTGCAGTCCAGTCTGTGAAAAGCAAGCGTTGTTTGCTATTTGCCAGTCTGTGAAAGAGAATGGATTAGAACCTCACCTTGTCAAAAAGGCAAGTATAAAATTCCATTTTATATTTAGATTATAAATTAAGGTTAGGTTAAAATTGGAACAATACAAAATGCATTTGTCAGTATTGAAAGTTGTTAAATTTTGTAAAAGCGCGACTAATGTGGGACATAAATGTCTGAATGAATTTGTAATTATATTTAATGACCTACATAGAAATAATGACATCATAAAAGACAATTCTAATGGTAAATCTTGTGTGTTAAAAGCACAGATCTGAAATACAAATAGATTTTTATACATTGAAGATTGCAGATCTCATTTTAGAAAATCTTTCTACCCAGTGGAAGTAAAGTGAGTTTTGCAATGTGGAAAATATGTAAAATAAATGCAAAGTATTGGAAGATGGTATGTGTCTGGTGGACTTTAATTCTGAAGTTCACAAGGGTATACTGAAATAATTGCTGTTTATACTGCAGCCTTTCATGTCAGTCATTTTTTTTAGTGTGCATGTTCTCTCCTTTTTATCCTTTCTTTCTATTTGTTGCCTCTTGTTTTTACACACAGTCTCTACCCTGCAAAATGTGTACTGTCTGTCCTTTTCCTGCCTCATAGAGGGCAGTTGTAGTTCCTTGATTGCACTCTTTTTAGATATGGCAATACAAATAATAAAAAAATTGCTTATGCTAAATAGGAGCTGACTTATAAAAATATTCATTAAAAGTCTGGGGGGGGATGACACATGGAGGTGTAGTACTGTCAGTTTGCCATAGTATCATGTACTCTGCATGCTATTTCTTCAATCTTATTTCATGCATAGGTTTTGAAAAAAGTATCTGCCATATTTGGCTATAAAAGTATAGAAGACTTCATGACATCACATTTAGACTATTTGGTGATGGAGTGGCTGAAAATAAATGACAGTGGATATAGCCTGTCTGCTTTTCCTTATGTTCTTCTGAACTATACTAGCCTTGAGGAATTCTACAGGTAAGTTTGCTATATGAAAGCAGTTTACTTAAATTTATTTACAGTTATGACACAGTGTTTCAAATTTCTAACATATTGAGAGCTTTTAAAATGTATTCCAAGTACCGTGTTAATTACATTTATGCTGGTAAGATTTTTTTGTATAGCTGTAGCTAAACAATAAATACAAGTTTGGTTATACAATAGAGGAATGATATTTGCTATATTATACTTGAAATTTTTTTAAAAATCCAATTCAAGGACATTCTGGAAATGTATTTACTACGTGTAGGTCTTGTTATAAAGTTCTGGTTCCACACCTGGTGATTAGAAGTCAATTTGAAGATGTGAAGTTACTTGCTGACAAGATTGAAAAAGACTGGAGACAGGTTCTAGCAGACTGTTTTCCAAAGATACTTGTGAATATCCTTCCGTATTTTGCCTATCAAAGCCATGGAAAGAATGAAGTAGCAGAGCAAAGAGATAAGGCTTCTGAAGTCTTCGACATGCTTAAGGATGAAAAGTGCTTAGGAAAACAGGTATCTATTTTTAAATGTGTAAATTGAGTTCTCTGTCATTTAACAGACCTGAAAGGAACTTTTATATATTCTGTAAAAATGTAAATAGTTCAAGTTTATAGATACAAAATTGTTATTTTAATAAAGCCAAACTAGCCGAATTTTTATCCCAAGATTTTTAAGTAGCTATTCAGAATGTAATAAATTTTTTTTTTTACCATTCATTACACGACCTTGAGTTTCCCCGTCATACATCTGTTTAAGTAAGTCATGTTTTCCTCTTAAAATATTTTGTTAATGCTTTATGAGGAGCCGTCTTCTCCAGAGGCAGACTCTATATTCAGAACTAGTAGTAAAATTAAACTTTTTTTTTTTTTTTTTTCCAGATACTGTAGGGAAGTAAATTGTTCTACCTGTGACTGCCATAGATAAGACTTAACCAGGCTTAATTTCTGAATGAATTGTATGTCGTGAATAATTGAACAAATAGAGAATCCAAACAGGAAAAAATGGGTGTTCTCAGAAGGAAAAAGAAATGTTAAATTATTTTAGCTAAAGTATTTTTTTTCCTTATTAAAACACTATTTATCTTCTTCTAGCAAATTGACAATTTATCTCATAATAACTTATCAGAGATTGTGGTTGAACTGTTGATGACCTTACATGAACCACCTGATACCACAGTAGAAGAAGGACCTCATCTAAGTAAATATATAAGGTACATGTTTGTAGATTTTCTAAATGCTGAGTGTGTTTGTATAACGTTGTGAATTAAAACGTGACCTTCAGGCATAAGAAGAGGTGGCCTTGAAGTTGAGAATTAAAGAATTTTGTTGTCATTAGCAATGATGTATCATAGGCATGCTTTCTCACATAGTTATTCCCCAATATCAGTAAGGAGAACCTCTATAATACTTCAGTTAATGGAAAGAATGAATGGGTGGGCAAGAGAATGCCATTGTATGTTGCTGAGCTGGAGTATGGCAATGCGAGTTTAGACTAGTTCAAATTTGGATGGGCTGCCCTCTCTGTAAAATTAGTTGGGTTTTAATGTCTAAATTAAAGTGATTCTTTTACAGGTCTTTAAATATTTAGAAGTCACTGAGAAGTGAAGTGAACCGTTTCTTAACAATTCTTGTAGTGGCAGCTCTTGCCTTTGGTAAGGAGGTTGCTTAAGCAATGCCAAATAAACAGATTCCTTATTAATAGGAATATTCTAATACCGTAAATTTATTCACTTTTATGAGCTTTTCACTCTTTGTTGTTGTCCTAAAAATATCATTATTTACATAATTATATCTAGAAATAATTTTCCAGATTTTGTGTTTAGATACAAACTATTTTGAAAAACATTACGCTTTCTGAAGTTATTGAAGAAGATATTTTTGTTGTAGAAATATAAAGTTGAAAGGAAAAAAAAGCATTTCTGTGAAAATCTGCCAAAAGTTAAATGGCTGAGGATTTCAGAACTTTTATTTATAAAGAAGTTTGTTTCAGTAAGTTTATTAACAGACTGTGGTGTCTGCTTGTAACCAAAGTTTTTCTTTCTAAGAAGGGAATTGTAAGAATAAGAGTGATGAAACTTAGATTTTGCTGTTTTGTTAATATCATGATGCATTTCTTTTCTTTTTGAGGTCCAAGAAAAGTTGAGTACCCTTTTTTTATAATGGGGAGATTCATGATTACTTTTTTCTCAACCAAATTGTTCCCATAGTTACAAAATGCGGAAGTTTTATCCATGACTTGCAGTTAGATTTTCCTACGAAGTACCAGAGATGAGAAAAATGCATGGATTTTTAGCAATATGATCTTACAAAAAATAGTAGAAGAATGTTCAGAAAGTACAACTTAGAAAGCTGCCATAGAGAGACAACAGGCAGCTAAAAATAAGATGTATGTCACTCTGCTGGATGCTTTTGGTGCTTCTTACTTACTGAAAGCAGAAAAGATTTCCTAGGATTTACGTGTTTATTCAGTGAGACTTACTTTATTTAATACATGGGTTTGATTTGGGGAAGAAAAAAAAAATCTCTTTTTTTATTCATTTAGGGAACTAGATCCTGCTCCTAATCCTCCTCATTTTCCATCTTACGTGATTAAGGCAGCCTTGGACTATATTAGCAACTGTCACAAAAGCAAATTAAGAAGTCTTGTAGCAGTTCTTTCTAAAAGCCCTGTAAGTATGTAATGATGATTTTCTTTTTCTGTAGAATATAAAATTTCTTTTATGGGTACATTTTGGTTTAATTAGACATTTTCATCATGTATATGTGAGGGAAAAATACAATCTTAGAAACCTTTCTGTTCTTTTGTTTGCCTTCTGAAATGGAAGAAGTCCTAAGTTCAGGGACATGGTAACCTTACAAAAATTACATTTGAACTATCACATGCATTATATAATACATATAAAATAATGCATAAATAGAGAGAATTATTTTAAAGGTTGAGGAAATCTGTGTGTACTAGACACAATTTAGATGCAATCTATTTCTTTGGCATGTGTCTGAAGAACTTTCTAGAATAATTACATTCGGACAATTTTATCTAAATACTATCTACAATTAAGACACTAAAGTTTGCTTCCCTTACTGACAGTGTGAAATTTTATAGTCTGTGATGTTTTTAGACATTTGATTTTCAGTTGTTAAAGGCAAATACGAAGGCATATAAAATTATCCAGCCTTTGCAATAAATCATAAACATTTTACTGTCTTGTAACATCATTCCTTAGATCTGTATCTTTTCAAATTGTATGCTGTTTTATTGCATATGTTGTCAACAATTTACTTTGCCTATCCATAAACAGTCTAAAAATAGGAAAAAAATTTTTCTGGACCATGTTTGTCTAAATCTTTTGAGTATAAAAGTTAATATTGCCAGACAGTGGAAAAAATTCTTTAAAATGTAACACAACCTGCCTAATACTTTAAGATAGTTACTTCTTTTTTAAGTTTACAGTTTTAACAGTTACAATCTGTATTTATATATTCTATGAAATAATGCATTTTTGTATGTATGAATATTGTTTGAAGAATATAGATTGAAGTACTACTTGATGTTTTAATGGCTTTTATTTGATGTTTCTTCTGTTGGTGAAAACTGCCATAACTGTTTGGTTTTCTGAAAAATTTGCATAACGTTTCTCATGTGGGGAAAAAGAAAAGAGAAAATTAGGAGGTATGGGGCTTAGAGTCCTGCTTGGAGAGTTGGTTTCTATGTAGGTCTTTTGTTTGTTTAAAGCAATAAAAATAATAAAGCCTTTTTGTCCATGTTCTTTAAAAAAAAATCTCTATTGCTTAAGTTTTTTTCTTGATATAAAGTATATCTGTATTGGTATTATGAATTTTTTTTTTTTTTTACTCATAGTTTATTCATTTTTAGGATTCATTTCAGAAAATCCTTCTAGCCCTTTGTAATCATGCATCAGATACAAACAACATTTACAAGAAACACAGAGTTCTTATAATTTATCACTTGTTTGTTAGTCTGTTACTTAAAGAGATAAAAGATGGTTTAGGAGGAGCATGGGCTTTTGTCCTCCGAGATGTAATTTACACCCTGATTCACCACATCAACAGCAGGTAAATATGGTAATTATATCTTGTTCTTACTGTCTGTGCTCCCTTGTTCTTGTAACCTCACATTTCAGTATTGCTAGTAGATGTTAATTCATTTGTAGAAATAATTGAAATTTGCTGAAAGAAAAAATTCAACTGCCTTTCTTTGATACTTTTGGAATTTAAATTTAGAACTCTTAGTAAAATGTGGAATGTTTTGTGCTATCCTTGTATTTAAATGTTTGCTATACTGCAGAATTTTGTATCTGTAATAGGTTATCAAACTGTAGAAACGAGAAGTGTTGGGAGATTTTGATGACAGAAAGGGTGTTTGGGAATTTAAAGTATATGGGAGAAAAATTCAAATTGTGGTGTTAAGTGCAAAGGAGGCACATGTCAAATAAAGTGCACTTCTTAATAAAGAGTATTTACATTCTCACCAATAAGGAGCTAACAAAATGAGTGAGAATTGGTACATGTTATCTTAGTTTGTCTTCAGATTGAGAAAACTGGTACTTCATTAGGCTTACGATTTAAATAGAGATTCTTATCTTTCACAAGGACTAGAGATACTTTCTTACTTGAGGTTTAGCTTTGGATTTCCAAGATAATTATTCACCTAAATGTCATTGAGTTTAAGTGCAAGTTGATTTCTTTGCTTGTTGGAAGCATTTCATACCCTGAAATACTGAAGAGAGGTGGATTTTATGGTAAATGCCATTATCATGAGACTTATTATCGCGATCAGCACTGATCATTCCTCTCTGAATGCTGAATGAAGCTGCAATAGGACCACTGTGTCCAATGTGGGACCGCTCCACCCAGCACATCAGAGATAACGACAAACTGGGATGGGTTGAGTGGAGGACCCCCAACGGGATAAGTGGAGTTGCTCTAATTTCTGTTCTTCAGTTTCTGGAGGGAAAGATACCTTGTAGAGAAAGTAGAGCCAGATTTTTCCTAGAAGTGCACAGCGATGGGACAAGAGGTAGCACCCATCAAGTTGCAATATGGAAGGTTCTGGTTGGACCTAAGGGAAAAGATTTTCACAGTGAGAATAGTCAACTACTGGAGCAGGTTGCTCAGAGGGGCTGTTGATTCTCCATCCAAGGAATAATGTGTCAGAATTCAGCTCAATAAAACTCTGAGAACCTCATCTGACTTTGAAGCTGACTGCTTCAGGCAGGAAGCTGGACTAGATAATCCCCAGGTGTCCTTTCTAACCTAAATTTTTTTTCTTTTTTTAAACTGTCCTGATTTCAGCTGGGGTTAATTGTCTTCCTAGTAGCTGGTATAGGGTTAAGTTTTGAGTTCAGTATAAGAATGTTGATAACACTGATGTTTTCAGTTGTTGCTAAGTAATGTTTAGTCTAAAGTCAAGGATTTTTCAGCTTCTCATGCCCAGCCAGCAGGAAAGCTGGAGGGGCGCAAGAAGCTGGCACAGGACACAGCCAGGGCAGCTGACCCAAAGTGGCCAACGGGGTATTCCATACCATCCGATGTCACATCTAGTATATAAACTGGGGGGAGTCAGGGGCGGAGGGATTGCCGCTCGGGGACTAACTGGGCATTGATCGGCGGGGGGTGAGCAATTGCCCTGCACATCATTTGTATATTCCAATCCTTTTATTATTACTGTTGTCATTTTATTAGTGTTATCATTATCATTATTAGTGTCGTCTTTTCTGTTCTATTAAACCGTTCTTATCACAACCCACGAGTTTTACTTCTTTTCCTGATTTTCTCCCCCATCCCACTGGGTGGGGGGGAAATGAATGAGCGGCTGCGTGGTGCTTAGTTGCTGGCTGGGGTTAAACCACAACATAAATTAATGGTTATGTGAGAGAGAGGAGAGTTCAGAGAGCATGTTTTCCACTTTTTTCCCCGTTTCTCTCAACATTGTTGTGGCAAGTAATAGTCTAAAAGCCTTTTTGGGTTGATTTGTGGTTTTCTTCCTTTTTGGAATATATTTTTCTTCAAAGTGATCTGTCAAATTTTGTGTGTGTTAGTTCTCCTCTGTGTCCTGAGCTAAATCCTTAGAGCTGATTGAGTTGATAAATTTTAAAGATTAGAATCAGTTCCTCCTATAAAGTTTATTTATATTTCCCCTTTTTTCCTATTCTTCCCTGTTGTATAATAGGTTAATACTTGAGACAATGACAATTTGTATTTCTTTAATTTCACTTTTTTATTTCCTGTGACAGACCTGTTATTATCAGAGAAATATCCATGCGCAGCTTTTCACTCTGTTGTGATCTTCTTCATCATGTTTGCCACACAGCGGTTACGTGTTGTAATGATGCTCTAGAGAGCCACCTTCCTGTTATTGTAGGAACCCTAATACCTCTTGCCATGGACCAGCCTGAGATTCAGGAACAGGTAGTTTTGAGTTGCTGCTTATTCCTTATCTGTTAGCTTTTTAGTTAATGTTCACTGTCATGAAAGCTATATCTATACTCATGTTCAATTTTAATTCCTTTTTTCTATGCTTTGTAGATTTATATAAAAAATCTTACTTGGGTTGTAATACTATACCTTTAATTTGTTAAATAAAAGTGTGTTTACTTTTGGTACTTCTATTTTGACAAATATTGTGTTCCGTATTTAATTTCCACAGCCTTAAACAGTGATGGAGATGTATTTGTATCATAATTGCTGAGATGACTGTATCACTTTCTAATTGTCTATTTACTTAGTCTATAAAAAGTCAGATTTCTTATAGAGCTTTAATGCTGTTGTAATGTCTTTTATGTCTGCTTTGAATATGTGCACCTTTTTGCCCCAAATCTGAAAGAGGTTTAAAACCTTCAGGGTAAGTTTCAGAAAAATTGTTACCTTAGTTGAGTAAAGACACCCAATCAGTGGTACCACTAAGGAAAAGATAGAGAAAACGTAGGCATTGCTAAGCTACTGGTGATGGCAGTCTAATGACTACAAGCATATCTAGTAGCCAAGCAGTTACCTACAAAGCTCTGTGGATGATTTCACAGGAAGTATGATGAAAACCTTTGGCAGGGGAAGGTGCTAGAGGTCAAAGAGAAAATACATGCAAAGAACAGATTTTAGTAGTTCAGCTAGTTATTTAACAGATTATCATTAAAAATAAATGTAGCACATAGGCTTTAAAAGGGAAATGAAGCAATTTCTGTTGTGTGATAAGCCTTGTTTTCCTTCTGGTGATGTTTGTATATGCATTCTGGAGGGGGTGGAATTTATTAGATTCAGAGACTTATAATTAGTAGCTAAAGGTGAGAAGAGTACACCTGTTGCACTTCAGTCCTTATGGTTGCCTGCTAGCTTAATCTGATCCCATGGCACCATATGCACCGTTGTGGTTGCAGTGTAGCCCTACATCGTCCTTCTCCTTGTGATTCCAGTTCAGCTGGAGAGCTGTACTAATTGAGCTGAAAATAAGCTGGCAATCTTTTTCCCAGCTTAATGATCATGATCGGATTTAGAATATGTCTGTGCAAACAGTTGTACATGCACACTGCAAAGGCAACATGTCAGGGCATCCCTGGGCAGAAACAAAGTGGGCAGGGCAGAAATTTCTCTGAATTGGAACTGATATCAAATATGAAACCTTCTCATATCATATTCCTTTAGGGAAGTCCTTCCTCTAGTGATCACTTCTCAGTTTCTTCTCTTTTTTCTTCTAGCACTGAATGGAGGTTAGTTAATAATTTTCAGAGAAATAAAAGTCTCCAAATAAAAACCTCATCATTTAGATTGTAGACTCCTCAAAGCTGCCTGGATTGACTATCCAGTTGCATTGATTTGTAAGTAAAGCATAAAAGCAGCGTTTTTTGCAAAGGAAGTATGGTACCCTTTTAGCAAGCATTTATTCAAGTGGTAGATCTGTTATAAAACAAATTCTACCAGAGTTCAGTGATTTGGGCAGTAAACTATGGTATTTAGGCATTTGTCCAGATTTCAAGTTACCGGCACTTTAGTTAGTAAGAATAATAAAATCCTAATAACATCAGAAGGACTGCTTGGGTGCAGTGTGTTGCTAAATCATTGCCAATATTGTAATGATTCCTTTGTCCAGTATTTGAAATCAGCTTCACCAAAAGACAGGATAAAACTGCAGGCTGTGATAATAAAAGTTTTGATGTCCGTTTGGGAGGGTGAGTAGCAAAAATGCCTCACCATTTTAGAATATATCTGTGATTTCCCCAAGCCTCTAAACATTTTATAATTTTTAACAGTGTAAATAAATTATCTTACCTTTTTTAATAGAATTCTCAGTTTAAAGGAACTTGGAGAAATACAAACTTCATAACCTGAATAAGATATATGGCTCAAAAATGTTTCTCCGTCTTACTTGTTTTTCATTTACTTTTCATTTTCAGGTCCTAGGCTTGTTGAAGTATCTGGTGATAGATAATAAGGATAATGAAAATCTGTACCAAGCAATCAAATGCTTAGATCCTTTTCCTGAACATCCTGCTTTTAAAGATTTGCGAGCAACTCAACAGAAAATAAAATACAGTAAAGGACCATATTCTGTTTTGGAGGTAATTACATTTTAAAATATATCTTGTGGCATAGTGTTTTTTTGTAATGCAACCTTTCAAAAGAAATACAATTTACTAGCTATAGGTATAGTTGAGAAATTAAATTAGACATGTGGATTCTTTTTATTACCAGTTTCAGACACTGAGATATTTGTAAATGTCCATTCTTATTTTGCATCTATTAATATCCACATTGTGGACTACTGAGAGCCACTTCTTTATTTGAAGCCTTTATTAGTATGCTGTATGTGATTAACACAAAATGTTGTTTTGCAGGAAATTAATCACTTTCTCTCAGTTGGTGTTTGTGGTTCACTGCCCTTAACACGACTTGAAGGACTGTATTATTTACGCAAACAATTGGAACAATATAAAGATCAGATGAAGGATCTCCTGAAAAATTTCCAGGGTACTGACATCTGATTATGTATTTTATTTCTTTTGTATTTGGTTTTAGGTGTGTAGTGATGTAACCCTATTCTAATTTGACATTTAATGTTTTATTTTGTGTCTTTGTTTTTGTATGTTTAACAATGTAACCTTATTATAATTTCATGTGCAGAGTAGAATGGCACTTATGCCATATTATTATGCCCCTCCCTTCCAGTACCTAAAGTGGGCCTACAAGAAAGCCAGAGAGGGACTTTTTACAGGGGTATGTAGTTTATAGGACAAGGGGTAATGGCTTGAAACTGAAAGAGGGGAGATTTAGATTAAATGTAAGGAATAAATTCGTTACTGTGAGGGTGGTGAGACACTGGTACACATTGCCCAGAGAAGTTGTGCATGCCCCATCCCCGGCAGTGTGCAAGGCCAGGTTGGATGGGGCTTTGAGCAACCTGGTCTAGTGGAAGGTGTCCCTGCCCATGGTAGGGGGCCTGGAACTAGATGATCTTTAAGGTCCTTTCCAACCCAAACCGTTCTATGATTATTTGTGCAAAGTCGGAGGCATCTTTAGCGGAATGTATTATAAATATTGTATGACGTGTTATATGGCAGAGAGGATAAAATGCCCTTCCAGCTTTTGGCATGAGGCACTTATGATTGTGAATGACCAGGATAGTGTATAATATGAGTATATTGCTTTATGGCTGCTTAATGAGTCTTCTTATATATGAATCTCCCTACTCTTTAAAAGTCGTGAAGCTAGATTTTATTAAAGGTATAGCATGTTAGAAAGCAAAGCTTACAGAACTTTTAAAATTATAGGATTTATTTTAGTTGAACTTTGCCCCATTACAGCATTCTGTTTCAGCCCTCAGTCCAGACCCAGTTCCTTTCTATTTTGGTTTTCAGAAGCTTGTGCCAGACCATTTCACTTTTGTCCTCTACATCAGGTCTTCATCAGCTTGTGTGCATGGCAGGAAGATAAAAAGAGCTGATGTAATTCATTGTAAATAAGTGCAAAGTAAAATTCAGGAAGAATAGTAGTCTGTCATAAGGCCATGGTGTAAGCGCATTATGTCCCCACATCTTGAATATCATTTACAATTTTAGTCTTGAAATTCTGCTTGAAAAGAGAGTTAGTAAAAGGGCAATAAGCTTGTGTGGAGCAACTTCCATCAGAGGAGAGCCTTGTGAGCTTGGAAAAGAGATTGAATAGGAATACAGAGAGGTGTATGAACTGGTGAATGGTATGGCGAAGCTGAGTAGGGAGCACTTATCACTTCTATCACAGTACAAGAATGGATTAAATTATCTGGCAGTAGTTATACAAGAGAAAACATATTTTTTTCAAACAAAATATATACAGCATGGAACTTACTGCCACTTCTTGTGGAGATCGGAAGCATAACGGACCTTAAAAGGAGTTTGACATATCTCGTAGAGGTTATTAGGTATGAAGACCTGCTCAGAAATCCCCAATCTGCTGACTGGCAAAACCTAAAAAGAAATACTTACTCTTGCTGTGTTGGAGGCAGGCTAGCAGGCTTGATGGGCCTGTTGCCATGATTTTGCCTTATACTAAAAGTCTATTAAGCACTTAAAAATAACTATTATTATTTTAGGTATTAAAAAGAAGTAAAAAAACCCAGTTATTGATAAAGGCTATAAAACTGTATGCTGAAAGATAACATTTAAGAAATAACTACTGCAGTTTAGCCACGTATGTATTCATTTTTGTAAAAAACGTCGACAAGCATAAAGCCCAATTCCAGGTTTTCACTTCAATCAACAGGGCAGCAGGATTTTTTTTTAAAGAAAATAGTGCTTTTGGTTTTTTCACATTGGCAAATCATCATATTTTTTCCTAGACCTTGATCCTGGAAACAGCAAAACCATTTTGTTTGGAATGTTTATTTAAAAAAAAAAAGACCTCTGGCAGGCAGCAAACATGTAAGGAAATATCCATCTTGAGAGTTTATAATTTGGCAAAGTTAATTAGGCAATGGAAAGCTAGTCAAATTCTGTGAAATTCCTGGCAGAAAGCTTTATTTTGGGATATTTCTTTGATTCAGATTTAGAACAGAATGATGATACTAGCTTAAGTGCTGTCAGTGGAGTCACATATTATGACTTCACTGTTTCAAATAACATTCTTACACTAACTTACACTAGTATTTCATGTATTTAATTATCATTTCTACATCAAAACCCTGAAAATAATAGCATTTTTGTATTCTAGTTTTGGGGATTCTTTGGCATAGTCAAATGCATAGAAATTTTTTCAAGACCTGATGAATAAGAAAAATTAATAATTCTTTTACGTACTGTTTAATACCAGCTTGCTTCAACATTAATAATGCATGTTGACACTTGCAGATAAAAGATACTAAAGCAGTGTTTTCTTCTAATATGTTCACATTACAAATACACAATGACATTTTGGGGGTTTATTTTTCTTTCTGAATGATAGAAAAGCCAGAAGATTCTGTAGTAGTGAAACTGGTGGTGAGCTTACTGCAGCTGTCCAAGATGGCAGTTAACCATACAGGTGAAAAAGCAGTGCTGGGTAAGTTGATTAGTTCCACAGGCATCTGGGGCTGTCATTGCAAACCCCAGGTTGAAACTGGCTGTTCTAAAGCTTACTTCCCCCTGCTCTTTTGCATTTGCTACCAGAGGTAGCCATCAGGAATGTTAAAATGGGTGATATGTCTTCTTTTCAGTCACTGTATTTTACAGCTTTGACTAATAACTTAAATTGTCATCAGTTTAGACCCTGGTTTCTTCTACACTCAGTAAAGTGTGTAAAATCTGCTGTTATATGGGTCACTTTATTAAGTTGAAAAATAGTAAGAAAAATTGAAGAGAACTTACCTGAAAATTTGAAAGGCATGTCTAAGTGAAAATCAGAATAGTTGTTCTCCATCTTAAAGCCTCTTCTGTATTATTAAAATTATTCTGATGGTTTACATGGAGCACCTGATTAATGTTTGATCCAAAACTAAAATCAAAATCCCCTCTTCCCTGAGTGGCAAGTACCTCCATGAAGGTGATGTTTACTGAAATTAGATGTCTAAACTAGACAGAAACACAAGTAATGAGAACATTTGCCTTATGTTTTTTGTCTAAAAGACTAATAACTGATAATTAAAAATGCTGAGCAATTGATGCTCACATTGACTTCAGTATGATACATTCTTCAGCACCTCTGCAAGCTTTAAGTGTCAGGCTTTTCCGTACTGTGTTTCCTTAGATGATTTGTTAAATTTAATTCAAAACACAACCTGTATATTTTCAGTCTGTTCTTTACTTGCTCTGGTGGTTAAAACAATGTTGTAGAAAATTGACATGTTTTCAAGACACATGCTGAGTATGAATGAAAGGGCAGGGAAATAGATTTTGGTTTCTTTCTGACAAACATTAACATCACTTTTTTAAAGCTATTTTCAAGGTCAATTTTGTTTTGTTTTTTCTTGTATATAGTTGTGTGGTTTATAAAATACTTTGTCTGGAAAGCAAATGAGGAACACATTGATACAGCGTTTTATGTAAAATGCAGGTTAATTCTCATTGAGTTTACAGGCTACTGTTTGTGTTCACAGGCTACTGCTTGTATTTATCATACCCTTAGGGAGTGAAAATGAGTGTCACTTAGTGGCTGCGATTCTGACCTTTTGCACTTAGCTGTTTCTGACACAAGCAAAAATGAAATCCATATCTGATTTAAACTGCAAAATGCAGAGCCATAGGCACTCCTAGAAAATTGAGTTAGAAAGCATAACTGTATTATTTATGAGTCTTAAGCTGCAAAATTTATATATGTGTAATTATAATCATAAAGCTTCTCAAGTGATTATTTATAAATATTTGCAGATTTTTACCCCATAATAATATCAGTTCTAAAAGCAGTTGTTGTGGTTTAAACCCAGCCAGCAACTAAGCACCACACAGCCACTTACTCACTCCTCTCCACCCTTGGTGGGAAGGAGAAGAGAATTGGAAGAAAAAGGTAACCCCTCATGGGTTGAGATAAGGACAGTTTAACAGGACAACACAAGGGGAGAAGAAATAATAATAACAATAATACTAATAAAAGAATGTATAAAGCGAGTGATGCACAATGCAACTGCTCGCCACCTGGAACCCAATGCTCAGCCCATTCCCAAGCCTTGATCCCTCCTCCCCTGGCCAGCTGCCCCAGTTATATACTGAGCATGACATCATATGGTATCGAATATCCCCTTGGCTAGTTCGAGTCAGCTGTCCTGTCTGTGTCCCCTCCCAGCTTCTTGTGAAAATTAACTCTATCCCAGCCGAACCCAGGATAGTAGTTTATATTAATTGCAACTTTCTAGGGTGAGACCTTGTTTTAGTGTACTTAAGACTAGAAAATTACCTGCATTTGCAGAGGCTGTTGGAAGTTGCTTGGGAGAAATTGGTCCCATGGATTTCTCCACCATAGCTCTTCAGCGTGCTGAAAATGCACTGGATTCTAAAGCAGTGGACTTACTTGAAGATAGAAAACTTCAGTGCGTCTTCATAATGTTAACTCAAATAAATATTGCTTTAACAGATAATTGGTGAGTATACTTATTTATTTATTTAGTTCAAAGCTTAATAGGAGCCATTAAGTTGTTGTTCAAATCACCTCAGAGTAACACTCTGAAAGTGTTATTAACACCTGTTGATGGCCAACCATGTGCTTCTTCAAAGCTCAGATTAATTCTCCAGTCAAACTTAGATATTTCCTAGAAATTCTCTAGTTGCACTTGAGCCAGAGAGTCTCTTCTGTGCTGTAGAGGATAGCAGTGCTGTGGAGTAAATACTGAGGCTTTGCTTTATGACAAAATATGCAATGGCATATCCTAGTCCAAAATTTTCTGATTTAATGTACCCATTGTTAGATTGTGGAATTATTTGTCTTGTATGTTTATAAAGGTGATTTTGAAAATAAAATATCTGAATGAAATGAATAATAATGACATTGTGTATGTTATTCTTTCAGTATTGACGTTAGAGCTGCTGCTGTTTCCTGTTTGAAAAACATATTAGCCACCAAGTCTGGCAATGAATTTTGGGAAGTTTATAAAAATAAAGCTGATCCCATGTTAATCTATCTACAGCCTTTCAGAATGTCTAGGAAAACGGTACTTCTTCTGATATACCTTATTTATATGACATATGGGGTAGCAAAAACATAAAAATATATATTTAAAAAAAAGTAAATTTGAAAATATTTTTGAGATAGGCTTTGATGAATGCAAAATTTGGACTTTTCATCAGTCTGATTGCAAATGTGATTGCTTTTGTACCCCTGATTCTCCTTTCTGTTCCAGCATTTGTGGCTTTACCAACTTGACATTGGAAAGCTGTGAACTTTCATTATTAGACAGACAGTTTTTGATTACCTACTCGGTAATCTAATACTTTTTTCCTTGGGATTGCAGTATCATTTGATGCAAAAACTTAGTGGAAAATAGGTTAGAAAAAAAGGTTCATAATTAACCATAAATCAGATATTTCCTAATTTTCAAACTTTTGATTTGTAACCTAAATGTGAGGTCTAATATGGCCTTATTGATGTTATCAGTAAAATTTTATTTTTAATACTTTCAGATTTCCTTGGAAACTTAATATTTACATGAACAAAATTGATATTGTTAGTCAATTAAAGCATGGTTAATATTTAATGTTTTAATCTGTGCAGATGTCAGTATGTTTTTTAAAATGCCATGGAACTTGTTTATATTTGCAATATATATATTTTTCTTCTAGTTTTTTGTAGTACCTGCTAATGATATGGAGGCTCCTTTAGAATCGTTGGATGACACAAACCTGTGGATTCCTCTGGGAGAAAGTCATGAGACCTGGATCAAGCGCCTAACTAGTTCAATACTGGACAGTGGAGGTGTGCAAAATGAAGTTCTCCAGTTAATGAAGCCACTATGTGAGGTGAGCTAAATTATCCATATGTATGCATGTATATGTATGTGTGCTGTCATGCACAAAAATACTTGATCGTGCATCTTGATAACAAATAGTAATTTCTGCTATTAAGTTACTACTTTTTCTTAACACTAATTCAGATTCTTCATAATCAGATATTGCAAATACCTGTAAAATACACTTTTGAAATACAAGATTTGACAGATAATTGTAAACATAGATGAACTTTATATGACTACTTTAAATGAATGCCAGCATAGCCCCTTGAGTGGTTTACATTTTTCATATTACATGTTCTTTCTCAAGAATTACATGTTTGAGTAGTTGTCAGTTTGGTTATAACCTGAGAAAAGAAAGGCTTTTGGTTGTTTTTCTTAGCAGCTGCTATGCATGACTGTTTTCTAGGTGAAAACGGACTTGTGTCAAACTTTGCTTCCATACCTGATTCATGATATCCTTCTCCATGACTCAGATGAATCTTGGAGAAGTCTTTTGTCAGTTCATATCCAGAAGTTTTTTACAGCCTGTTGCAGATTTGCCTCATCTAGTAGATCTACTACACCTCCAAATTCTGATTCAGGTAATGTCATAATATTTTTTTCAGCTGCAAGAGGGATTCTGGTTTGAAAAATTACCTTCTGACATCTAATGTATGATGCACAATTGTAGGTGGACAGAGTTTTAGAAGCTTCTGTCCAATTGTTTGATCTTTTTCCGTAGAGATACCAGTAATTTTTAAGCTGTTCATTGGCAGCACCCAAGTAGTTTCTTCTGTATAGCTTCTTTCCTTATTCACAGCTGGATAATGTTTATTACTTGCTGAATTTAGATGTGATCCAATGTTGTGTGCTGCAAGACTGAGTCTTGGACTGTCTCTTAAAATGACTAATTGGCAGTTAAATTCTTCTCTTACTCAAATAAGAGTGATTAAAGGCAGTTTTCACCTGGATTTTCCCCTTGGAAAAAAGACTAACCCTTGCTCTAGCTTCTGCCTAATGTTGATAATGGTCTCTCTATACATTCAAAAGACCTGTTCCATTCCAGCAGAATGAAAGGAAGTTGTAACCAAAAGAACTGCAGCTGAGTATGAGTAGTGCAGAGAGTTCCATTACAAACAAAGCACCTTCTAATCAAGGTGGCTGGTGTCCTTTCCAAATAGATTGTGGTTGAACTTAGCAGAAATCTGTACAAAGTAAGATCTTTGTTACTAGACTATGGGAATGGTACATGCACTTCTTTTCAGGAGCTGAAATACATTATTTCTTTTATTTGTGCATGTCCCCTACTTAACACAAATACAGTAACTTCAGGTTAGTATTTTTTGTGTGCAGTAGCTATTCTGCTGTATCTTCCAACTCCCTTCTATAGTGACAAATCACCAAAGGAATGAGTCTGTACAGTGTCTTGCAGTCTCTTTACAGGCAAGTCATGCAAGCTTCAGGTTGCCAGAGAGGTAAAGGAACCCTTAGTATTGCAGTTTGTACTAAGAGTGGTGTAAATAGGCCTAATGATGCTAGGTGTATTTGAAGGTACTTTTATAGATGCTGACTAGCCTGGCCAGAAAGGCTAGACCAGTATTCTTTCATATTTTTGAAGTCAGGTAACAAGCTGTTGCCACAATCCAGGTATTTTTATTATTGTCCCACTTTGTAAGATAGAAAAGGATTAACAATTTTCTATTTCCTTCCTGTAAGCAGCCAGGGAAACTACTGCACAAATTTGTGCTTGGATGTACAGAGTAATCCAAAATGTTCAATGAATAATAAAAGGGATTTTTCTAAGTTTTATAAGCTTGCAGTTATTTCAGTGACACCAATTAGTAAATGATAGAGGCCTCTTCAAACCTTGTGATTCTATGCAAGGGATCTTACTGAGGTGATATGAGCAAAATAAAGGACATGTAAAAGCTTTAAATGGAGTTCTTCAGATGAAAAACTGTCCTAGTACCCAAAAATAAATACGTGAAGTAGCACACAGCTTGTTGTCTATGTAGTTGTTTACAGATAAACTGAAGGTACACTAGCCAACAGAGCAAGATATGTTAATTCCAAAGTTAGAATGATAGAACATCAGCAGTATTCAAAACAAAAATTTTAAACATCTGGTGACTACCAGTTTCTTCAAGGAGAAACTCTTACCCTATCAAAACAAGGAGGAAAAATCTCCCTAGAAAACCTAGATAAATTTCATTCCAATCCATAAGGATCCAAACTGTTGCAAAGACCAAGCAGTTAGACATGAGAGAGTTTAGTGCTTTTGAACAAGAGTCTTCCTGTTGATCCATTTTGACATGCAAGTTCTAGGAATTGGCTGTTAATCTTGGCAATTTAAAGCATAAATAGTGTGAACATCATGCCAGTCACTGTGCTGCCTGAGAAACCAAACCTAATTGTAAATAGCCAACTACTTGACAAGAGTCAGACCCACCAAACTAAAAATGAAGAATAGTTTGGACTTAGTGCATGTCAGTCTGGCCAGAATCATATGTCAATTGAGTCTATTATTTTGCAGAAGAGTTATAATTTTTTTAATGACTCTTTCAAAATACACATTCAGTTATTTCTCCTTAGAATTTAGAACTTCTATCTCATGCCATGAAAAAAGACACTGTTTTCTGTCTGTAAGCTTGTTGTTAGCAAGTGAGTATGAACACCATGCTGACATCTTATAGTTACCAAATAAGTGTTGTTCATTTCTGTTTGTTGGAACACACGAAATTCCCAGATACTTCTTTTTTTTATATGGCTTTTGCTTTCTTTAGGGGAAATTTCTAGTCCTGTGTCTTACTGTAGTGTAGCAGTAATCAAACCTTTGCTTATGCTTTCCCTATTCCTTGCTTCTTGTAATGTATAAATTGAAATGTCCAGAAAAATGAAAAAATTATTAACCCAGTGACCAGAACACAACCTGTAGCCATCTGATTTTTTTTTTAAATCCAGAAGCAAGGCATGGAAATAAAAATTCTTTAAAAGTATGTGTCTGTGTGTGTGAGGTAGTGTTTTTTATGTAAGCATACATACTCTATAAAATCTGCACTAAAGCTACTGGTAAGTATTTCTGTGGCTTTGGAATAATTTTATATGGCTCAAGCCTAAGGTAAGAGGTCTGTTACAGAGCTTCGTGCAATGGTGTTGGATCATCTCTGAATTCTGTAAGAAGAAGTAGTATCCACAAATTATTAATGCAAAGATAGTTTGATAAAGAAAATTGTGGTATAAACTACCGTAACATCCACTAAAATCATATAAAGAGGGGAAATACATTTTGTGACAAACTATTAATTTAATTTTGGAAATGCTGCCCAAGGAACTTTTTAGTTATTTTCTTGAGTAAAAAATATACCTTTTTATTTTATAAATGGCTATGTTATGACAAAAGTTCATTATATTCTTTCTTTTGAAATATACATCCCAGAGCAAGAAACCCATAATTCTAGAAGTTTGGATAAAGTATCTCGACGAGCCATGCTTGCTGTTGTAGATTACTTAAGAAGACAAAAGAGGTGAATTACAGCTTTCCAAAATGTTGCTTTAATTTAATTATGACTGTTCTAAGATCTGTTGACGCTATAGATCAAGGAAGAAGGATGTGGTAGAGAACATGTCAGTTAAAAGAATGAAGATATAGTAGTGACCTTGCATTTGTTAAAGAAGCGATATGGCTAATCTTAAAGGGTTCTAATTTTGCTGAAGGAGTTTTTAGAAAACTTTTTGTCTGATAAACTTTTTGTGGTATGCGTTTAGGAGGGGGCAAGATAAAATTAGCCTTTGGAAGACTTTATATTTAGATTGGATTTATTTTATTTAATGTTAGAGAGAAGGTGTGTTACAGCAATATTAAAGTCTTTATTTAATCAGATCTGTTTCAGGTGCCGTTTTTGATGACAGCTTCTGGCTAGATCTGAATTATCTTGAGGTTGCTATAGCAGCACAGTCTTGTGCTGCTCACTTCACAGCCTTGCTCTACACAGAAATCTATGCAGACAAGATAAATGTAGACAAACAGCAAGAAAGGTACAAGGCTTGAGGAATGCAATTTCTTGACATTTTGGTTAAAATGGATCAAGTTTTGTGTGTCTCAGTAGTGTTTTGTTACAGGAAAAGTCAAGGAAACTTTAAATAAAATCCCTTAGGTGTGTGTATTGACCTGGAAAATATTGCCACCTCTCCTTGAATGTGATCCCAGCCTTGCTAGTTTGCTAGTGACACACTCAAAATAGTGTCGTTTTGACTTCTAACCAGGGAGTTTTGTTATAAGTGTGTGTTCTAGAGAAATTTCACTGAAACTAATGCTTCTGAATACTAGAATGTATTGAATCTCACTTTCTAAATTGAACACTTTTCAGATTCTATTTCTCATAATTAATAGTGTGCTAGTGGTTAAATTACGGCCAGAAGTGAATCAAGGGGAGAAAGAAACCACTCAATGATGACCAGAATTGTGTGGGTAGAGCTGAATGATCCTTGTAGAAGGCGTTTTCTTCTATAATGGACAATTATCTTTGTCTTCTGGTCCAGCAAGATCAAAATATGGAACTAGTTTCCTAGCTTTGTTTTGGCAACAAATAACTCTAAGGCAGTGAATGTATAATAAAAGTATGTTTGTAAGCATATATATTATGTAGTTGCTTTTATTCTTTCTCACGAGAGAGCATTCTTGCTTCAGGCATTCACAAAAGCAATTTGATTTAATAAAAGATTAGACATTACAAGGTGGGGGGGGGTTCTCTGAAAAACCACCTTGATATTGAAATCCATTGATGTTGATATCCTCAGTTCAGCTGATCACTTTGTCATTCTGGTGGAGAGACATTTTGAATAACCTGGGCATATGACAGGCCTGATCTTGCATTTGGTGTTTGTGCCCCTTACTTAGGTGTTGTTTCAGAATTTCTTTAGTTATTTGTATGAAATTTCATTTAACTTTACTGGTTGAAACATTTCTTTTAGGTTTTCTTTTAAAGCAGCTAGGAGTTTGACATTTGAAGAAGAAAGTCAAACAAGAACCGTTACTATTTTGAATGAAAAAAGTAAAGGAGAAACTGGCATAAGTTTACAGGTATGTGTGTGTGCTCCATAATCTGAAAGCAAACCTTGTCATGTAATTACAGTTAACAGTAGGTTTCATCTGAGCTGAAGGCAAATCTAGTTGAACTTCAAAAACTGTATTTGAAAATTCTCCTCATCCTCTAATTCAAAGTGAACTCAGTGGCATTGCTGAACAAGTTAAATTGAGTATTTGTTCACCTGACACACTAATTAAGTGGCAAATTTTAAATTGCAGCAAAGCAGACTTTGTTCCCCAAAAGAACTGACCCATGGCGGTAACCAGCCAAGTATTTTTCAGTTTTTGTTCATTAAAAATCAGCAAGTGGTGTAGCAAGTTGTAATGATCAAAACCAAAGCAGTATTATCTCCTACAAGTTTATTTTATACATAAAATCTGATTCAGTAGCCTTGTCTAAGTTACTTCTTTCCACAGTTCATTATTCCAGATCTGTGCTTGCATATCTTTAAAATGCATTGCTTAGCTGGTATGTCTGATGCTCATGCAGTACTACTGCCTTTTGGTTTTCAGTCAGTCCACCTAAGGCCCAGCGCTGTTTTTTTAATAACCTAGCAGAGAAGGTAGGTAGTCCTGAAGAGTTTTGCTAGACTATAAAACTTTTCTTCCTGTGATGATGGCAGGCTCAAATACTGCATAAAGGAAAATGAAGCAATGATAACACATTACATGGAAGGACTTGTATTTATAAACTTACACGATATGTATACAACTCACTTGAACTGGTTCCAAAAGAGGTAATTCTTTGTCCTATGGTGCATATTCTAGGACCTTCTCATGGACATATATAGAAGCATTGGAGAACCTGACAGTCTCTATGGCTGTGGTGGAGGAAGAATGTTACAGCCACTAGCACGGTATAATTTATTAATGTTCTTATGTTCTTTAAAGTCATTGCTTTCATTTATTAGTAAGGAACTTAAACTGAAAACTTCTTGTTAATTTACAACAGGATAAGAACGTATGAGCATGAAGCAGTATGGGAGAAAGCCCTTGTAACATATGACATTGAGGCAAGCCTTTCTCCATCTACTCGCCAGGCAGGAATAATAGAGGTAATTTTATTCTATAATAGGCAATGAATGTGGGAATTGATATCCATCGTACTGAGAGTCATTTGTAGTAAATGCAAAATTGTTTTAGAACTAAAAGAGATCTCTTTGGTCATTAAGTCCACCCCACTGTCATAGGCTTCCAAACTGTATAATGTAAGAGAACTCAATATTTGTCCTGAAAACATTATGGCTTCTAGTCCTCCTGTCACTCACCTGTAATCCCTATCTTGGGTAATGAATTTTGTGAAATATTTCAAAATAGATCTTTTACAGAATTTGGCCAGCTCCTAAAATAACAGGATATAAAAAGTAATGGAATTGGTTATTTTTGCCATCTCATTCTTTAAACCTCTCCATTATGGCAGCTATCTTACTGCAACTGTTGTATTTCTAATAAAATAAATGAATAGAATTGATGTTGTCTTATTTTTATTCCTTAAAACCATGTTGCTTTTTTAGCCTAAAAATGTTTACACCAGTTCTGTAATAACATAGCACAGGTATATCTGTGTTTCACTTAATTTCATTTTCCTGTGGAACTTTTCCTAGCCCAAATTATTTAGTATCATTGTTAAAATTCCATTGTGTTTCTCCTTCATAATGGCTGTACACATAACCTGGATAAGTGGTCACAATTATAAAGTCATTATGGTCTTCAAACAGATAGGAGTTTGGGAGTTGTAGGAAACTTTTTCAAATCCCCACCAGGAAAAACAGTTCATTAAGAAGTAAAACCAGTTGTGGCTTACTACCCAGAAATGATGGTGTGGAGAAATGTGAGCAGATAGTTCATTTGAATCACAACATGGAAATTTATTTCAAAGAATACCAGCCACAGTAGTAATGAAACCGTTTTTCCAGGGTTGCAGGTATCAATGGTGTGATTATTAGTCTTATTAAAAAGTTTTCATCTTACATAGTGCTGAGTTTAGAAATACTTAGAGTTCTGCCTTACCTGCAAAGGCTTCTTTGTTTCCAAAGGTAAAACAAAGCTTTTTTAAAAAACAGTTCAGTTTATAAAAAGGAGGAAAACCAACTTTCAGTAATTATGTTAATTCCAGGCTTTGCAGAATTTTGGGCTTTGCCACACTCTTTCCATGTATTTAAAAGGACTGGAACATGAAAACACTGAGTGGTGTGCGGAACTACAGGAAATACGCTACCAGGCAGCATGGAGGAATATGCAGTGGGGCCACATCTCTTCTGTCAAGTAAACTAACCTACTTTTTTGCTAGTTTTTTAAGTGAAAGACAATGGTTTCAGTTCCAAGCAAAAAGGCAACATTAGAATATAATTTATATGAAGCAGGTCACCTGATTTATCTTAATCATTGAATTGAAAAGCAGCATTTTTCACTTAGACCTGTCTGTTTTGTATGCACATCACTTCATTTTCTGGGAAACTGTACACAGTTGTCCTAGTTTCAGCTGGGATAGTTAATTGTCTTTCTAGTAGCTGGTACAGTGCTATGTTTTGAGTTCAGCGTGCAAAGAATGTTGATAACACTGATGTTTTCAGTTGTTGCTCAGTAGTGTTTAGTTTAGTCTAAAGTCAAGGATTTTTCAGCTTCTCAAGCCCAGTGAGCGAGAAAGCTGGAGAGGCACAAGAAGTTGGCACAGGACAGAGCCAGGGCAGCTGACCCAAACTGGCCAACGGTGTATTCCATACCATGTGATGTCCCATCTAGTTTAGAAACTGGGGGGAGTGGGGACAGGGGATCGCCGCTCGGGGACTAACTGTGTGTTGATCGGTGGGTGGTAAGCAATTGCACTGCGCATCATTTGTACATTCCAATCCTTTTATTATTGCCGTTGTCATTTTATTAGTGTTATCATTATCATTATTAGTTTCTTCTTTTCTGTTCTATTAAACTGTTCTTATCTCAACCCACGAGTTTTACTTCTTTTCCCGATTTTCTTGCCCCATCCCACTGGGCGGGGGGGGGGCCAAGTGAGCGGCTGCGTGGTGCTTAGTTGCTGGCTGAGGTTAAACCATGACAACAGTTGATTCTTCTTTTTGATTGTTCATAACTATAAAATGAAATTTTCCATTTTTGAGTCATATAGTAGATGTGTCTTAAGTACATATGAGGGATAGATAGTTTTTAATGTTTAATTTATAAGCAAATGGGGAAAATATTACTCGGTAAGCCACAAGAGGTTGTCAAGACCTGGATAAGTAAACACTAGTGTTGATTCATGACTATTTCATAAGGAGTAATCTCCTCCCTTGTGTAATGTTGGCTGCCTGGCATTAGTTATTTCATATGACTGGCCAGGATCTAGGGAACTCTGTCCCTTCCTAGTACAGCTACATCATCGCACATTGTAGGAGGAATACAGAATAGATTCACTACATTTTGGCAAAAGTAGAAGTTAGGATCTTCAGTAACTCCTTCTACATTAACTTTTAGTAGTCAGGAGAATGGAAGCTGTTTCTCCTAAGATTTACAGAGAGATAGGTCTGGGGAACATACTCTTGGTGTGTTCATTCTCTTCTCCTGCACTGTTTTAAGATCATTGTTTAGAAGCACCTGGAGGACTTCACAGACATATCCTGTTGAAGGGCTTATGTCATGCCACTATCAGAATAAACTTCATATAGGTGGGCTCTCTTTGTCCCTGGGTTATGGTCTGTGTAACCCTCTTTGGTTATAAACTTCTTAGGCAAATAGAATATTCAGCTTTAATATGGGAGCAGAAAAACAACATGTAAGATGAAAAGAGAGAGAATGAGATGGCAGAAAAGAGGAGGATCAGGGTGAAGCAGAAAGAATAAGTGAGAGGGGCAAAGAAGAGAAAATTAAATTGAACACTATGGGTTTTTTCAGCCTTCTGATTTTCTTTATTTTTTTCTTTTTTTAAAATGTTTCTGATGCTAAATGTAAAAAAATGTTGATTCTGAACTGAAGTTGCATACATACAGTAATATATATATCTTTCAGCTAATACTGAGAAGTGTGTTACAATAGAATTTTTATTGTGCAGTTGGTTTTGTGTCGTATTTTTTATACAACCTTGAACATATTCTCTGTATTGCAAACGTTTTGACAATTACTGGGTTTTTTTGTTTTAAATGAACAGCTTGAATGTATAAAATACTAAATTAATTTAAAATTTAAAGGGTTGCATTGTTATTTTTTATCATGCAAAACAGCAATTCATGCAACTGCAGAAAATGTACTACTGAAAATATTTGTCATAAAGATAAAATTGACTTCTTTGTAGAGAAATACAATTTTCCTTTTATTTTATGTTTCTTTCATTTTATTTGTAAGAGATGAGACAGGAAGACCAGGGTACCATGAATCATTGTATGATGCTCTTCAGTCTTTACGAGATAAGGAATTCTCTGCTTTCTATGACAGTCTTAAAAATGCCAGGTAACTATGCAAATATTGTGCTGTTAGAGAGAGAGATGGAGAGTGTGTGTGTTTGTAGTCACAGGTTATATATAAAAGACTATTACAGGGGTTTATGGCCTTAAATTAAGACTCATGCATAGAATAAAATTAATGCTTCTGGACTGCAACTTCATTTCTAAGTTTTTTAACCTAAATTTATGCGTATACAATTTGTGTGCTAATTGAATGCATTTCCTGTATGTCCCTTACTTTGCAGTCGTCTTAAGTGGATTTGAATGCTGACTACTCTTCTTTAGCTGAGCTATCACATAGACTTTGGAGTTTATATATGTTTACCGTGTTTTCATTTATTGACAAACTTAATTTTTTGAACTTTAATGGTAATACAAAATAATTCCAAATTGAATAGTTTTGCTGTTTGAAGTTTGTTCACTGTGTGGAAATTGTTATGGATATTTGGATTACTTGTGGATATTAAAAAAACAATTTACTGTTTCTCTGTTAAATCCATAGAGTGAATGAAGTAGAAGAGCTCTGCAAAGGCAGTCTTGAGTCTGTTTATTCATTATATCCAACTCTTTGCAGACTACAGCTAATTGGAGAGTTGGAAAATATAGGTCTGCTGTTCTCCAGGTATTTTTTAAAGCTTGTTTCATATTCCTTTCTCAGTTTTCAGGATTTTTGGTAATCAAGTCTAGCACAAAAATAAAATTACCTCAACAAATTTTATTCATTAATATCTCAAACTTCATCTTAAAAATTATATGGATTTTAGCTTTACTATGTGAAGACAAATCTAGATTCTCTCTATTTCTAGACTGGATTTATCTGTGGTCTAGTCTTAATTATTTGATATTATGCCAATATTTTATTTTTAATAATTGTTTTCTTGCCTTTGTTTTGAGTTCCCTGGTATACTCCATGGTAGTAGTCATATTTCCTAGCATTTGGTTTACTAAAGTAACTGACTTATCCTTTCTAGTTTCCTTTCTAAAAACATTTTCCATTTCCTTGATGATACCCATAGATATATTGAAAGTTGTTTCAGTTTGATTCACTTTCTTCATGGACCACTGTTATGATCATTATTCTACCTGAATTCTTAACATTGCTTTTTAATCATAAGAAGGTACTTACCTCTGTAGTGCTATTAACACTGAATTTTTTCTGTTACAGTTGTATCAGTTTGGTAGCTTGTAGTCATCCTACATTCATTTAGCATGTCCAGGACCTTATGAACCATTGCTATTTGCAGTTAATGTGAGAAAATAATACATATAATGACAACCTACACAGCTACAATGTCACAGTTCGGAATTTATTCTTATATTAATCCATGTATGTCCTATATAATAAAATAGGAATCTTGGTCTCTGATCTTTTAAGTAGCCCTGTGTTTGAATGCAATTCCCTTTGCTGATGGACCTTTAACACAACAGTTATTGATGCTTAATCAAGAATGTTTACAGTGGAGTTGTTCACCTTGCTAATGTTGATCTCTTGATCTTCATGTTTGTTAAAACTGGAAGCCTGCCAGTTTGTTCTCCGTATTAATCATTGTAGGGTCTTATGGACTGTTTCTTGGTTTTGAACTGTAGACTGTGAACTACCTTGGTAGTTTACTTTTGTTACTCATCTTGCATTTCACTAATACTTAGCGAGAGTTAATAACAGGTCTTTTTTCTTTTGGTAACAATTGCAGATCTGTTACGACTCAACAACTGAATGATATTTATTTGAAATGGCAGAGACAGTCCCAGCTTCTTAAGGACAGTGACTTCTGTTTCCAGGAACCTATCATGGCTCTGCGCACTGTAATTTTGGAGATCTTGCTTGAAAAGGAGAATGAAAATACAAAAAGAGAATGTATTAAAGACATCCTGACCAAACATCTGGTGGAACTCTCTAGATTGGCAAGAACGGCTAAAAATACACAGGTAACAAATTCCAGGAAAGATCAGTGACGGATGTTTAGTGTTTTAGTTTATAAAAGGACTTCATTTTTTAACAGTACTCAAGATTAACTGTATTCTAAGTTTATTCGATGAATCAATTAGCTGGAGACTTAAACTATGTAGAACTTATTCATAAATTGTATTTATGGGCATGTTTTCTGAATTTTGTTTGTAACTGTAAGCTACTCTGAAGCAGATAATATAAAATGAAATTTTTAGTGAAGAATGCTCTTACAGCTCTGTTACTTTCGTTTGGTGCAGTTTTATATATCCAGCTTTCACTTGCATCATACTGTTGTAGTGTTCCAGAGTGAAGCTGCAGAAAAAACTCCATTGTATCTGTATATTTAGCTTTGTCTTCAAGGTTTTATACTCTTAAAGCACCATTGCACTGTCATAAATCTTTCTCTGTGAATGACTTAATGGGATTTGCAGTAGCAGTGGTTTCGGCAGCTGCTAGTGCATTTAAGGTCCAGAGTCAGCCTTAGTTTGTTCTAGGTACTGCATCTGAAGGAGTAACTCAACAAGAATTTATAGAGCAACAATATCCTCCAAGAACCTCTGCAGAAAATAGTTTCAGCTAAATATATAACCTGGAAAGGTGTTTAAAAATTCACACATGTGAAACTATATTAAACTTTGATTTCAGGAAGGTTCTAACTCTTTTTGTGCATAATGATGAAATCAGTAGAGCAGCTGTCTTTGGTTTCATAAATTTGCAGGGTTTACTTAGTGCCTCCAGAATTGTTTGGGAAAATTACTTCTTCAGAATTTTTTTATCTCATGCCCGCCCAGCCGCTAACACTGTGGTGATGAGTGTCCTGTAAGAGCCGCAACAAAAGTTAATTTTTTTTTCACTTTGATTTTTAGTTACAGAAAAAGATTAAAATTGTGGTGCTGTATTTTGGGAGGATTAGAAGGTTCTGAAAGATTGAGCCAATGTGTTTCTGCTATTGTTCCAGCCTCTTCAGTGTTGCAGGACATCTGCAACCTTTGGGGTATGCTTCTGGGCCTTATCAGTCTTTCAAACCATGGGCTGATAACCCTTTCCTTTTGGCACGCTAGTAGTTGAAAACACTAAGTGTCTGGATGTCGGAGTTTTTGAGGAAGCACTCTGCAACTAAGGGCTTTTCTTCCTCTTTGGTGCCACTACCATCTGTCAGGAGAAGGAAGAGTGTGCCATACGGAGTCATCACACTGACTACTAATGGAAGTAACCAAACTTACATTGTCATTTACAGGCATTCTTACATTTTAATTGCTGACCTTGCTTATTTAAAAGTTTGATTGATTTGGTTATTGGTTGGACAATTTGTGAAAATACACTTTAGTCTCAATCTTTGACGTTGTTAGAAAGATAGTTTGCTCTTTTTACTATCATAGTGACATTAGATTGCTAAATAATGAGGATGTTACTTCACTAGTGATATGAGTGAAGAAGTAGGCATGCAAAAGAATTAGTGTATGATGGTGCCATTTTTCTTAATATTTTTCTGTGGTCTTTTAGGATGTAATAATAATCACTAACCTAAAATTATAAATCAGTCATTTCAGTAGGTGCCGATTGTAGAATTTCTATAGTTTATACCTCCAAATAATTCAAAACATTAAACATTGATACTTTATTTTGGGGGTTGTGAAGTTTAATTCCGTAGTCTGTTTTTGTTGCAAATCAGGATTTTCTGCAAGTATATAGAAAAACAACTTCATCTCTTTGCCGCAAATAAATTCTCAGCATTGGGTAGGCAGAATATGCTGCACAGTAGATCGAATGAAGGTGCAGTTTAAAAACAAAACTTGTTGTGAGATACATGTATTTCACTTAAAGAATTGTTTATAATGTTTTTTTCAATTTCAGCTTCCAGAAAGAGCTATGTTTCAGATCAAACAATACAATCCAACAGGATATGAAGTTTCTGAATGGCAACTAGAAGAAGCCCAGGTTTTCTGGGCTAAAAAGGAAGAGAGTCTTGCACTGAATATTCTTAAAAGGATGATAAAAAAATTAGATGCAGATTGGTTTCAGGTATGTGTTATATAATGTATAAACTTATGGGAATTAAATTATTTAAGATCCTATTTTCACTTTCCAAAGTTTTCCCTTGGAAGAAGATTAAAGGGCTGTCTGCAATATTACTAAATCTGGTTTGTACTCTCAAAATGTCTGAAAGCAAAAAAAATCTGTATTAGCAAATCTCATCAAGGTTTTCAAAGCAAGTCTGCAAGAGTGGCAAATGTTAGAATTCATTATTTATTATTTTGCTTCAAATGCCACCACTGTGAAATGTATAGCTTTTTAAAAATCAGAGATTATTTCCCTTGATAAAAAGTTAACTTGTTTTAAACAAAACTGTTACGTACAGGTGTATCATCTTCTTCTGTGCCAATAGTTAAAGAAACTAATGGCCAAGCAGGCTTATTTAGGCATAGAATCACAGAATCACTTAGGTTGGAAAAGACCCTTAAGATCATAGAGTCCAACCGTTAACCTAACACTGCCAAGTCCCACTAAACCATGTTCCCAGGCACTGCATCTCCAGGTCTTTTAAATATCTCTAGGGATGGAGTATTTCTTGTAGTGAGGGGTCCAAAACTGAACACAGTATTCAAGGTGCGGCCTCACCAGTGCCGAGTACAGGGGGACGATCACTGCTCTAGTCCTGCTGGCCACGTGATTTCTGATAGATATTATGTTGGGAAATATAGTAATGTACAGGAAATATAATAAAGTACATGTTTTTGTTAGAAGAAGAAGAATAAAGATTTTATCTCCAGTCCTTATTCTGTAAAAAAAGACTAATACAGGGATACACTAATAATGTATTTTATGCTAAAGAAGCACACCTCTGTTGCAGGTGTTTTCCTGATGTCTGTAGGGAATCTTTGTCCAAAGGTAGGAGTATGAGTTGAGGCTTCTATTTCAGTGGGCCTGAAGCTGTATCACAAAGTGTACAGAAATTCCAGGCAAGTTTTTGACCGATAAACATTCACTACTGTACCTCAGACTTCTTTGTTCCTTGAACTAATCCATTATCAAGGAACATAGATATGAATGGGGATGCTGTTTCACGTCTTTGAATCTTCCCCATTTTACAAGCACACTGAGCTGTGAGTTTTATGTTGTACTTCTGAAAACGGAACCTTACCTCAAACAGGGGAATGTTTTCTCATCAAATTTGACTTCAGCAAGTGCCTCTGAATCTTAGTTATCTTAGATCTTTTTGTAAGCTTTCTGAAAAATTATGTCACTTGATGTGAAGGAAATACTACATTTCCATCTCCAGTTCGGAACTGAAACAAAAATCCCTCTCTCCTATCTCAGTAATGGCAATACGAAGTTCCTAAGAAAAAATGTGAAGACTAGTTGGGCTGTATAGCCAGAGTACTCCCCCAGACTGATTTGTAGCACAAGAACTTCCTGAACCAGAGGTAGTTTCTTTGTAGGCAATTCCTTCCAATGTTTTTTTTTTATACCATAAATTTGTCCAGTCACTTTTCGAGTCTGTGTAAGCTTTTAATATCCAAGCAAACCCTACAACAAGGAGTTTCACAGCTTAATTCACACAGGTTTAAGAGCCACTTGTTTTGTTGATTTTGAACCCCTTATCTCTATTTGATGTTAGTTCTGGTCTTGGAAAAAACACTGAACACATTCCCTGTCTCCATTCTCCATAGTGAGGTAACATTTTATAGTTACATTTCCAAACAGGAATAACTGTTTCAAAGTCCATCATTGTATACAAGAAGTCTTTCTCCCCCCTCTCATGCATCACTTAACTTTAGGTTTGGGTTTTTTTGTGCTGGTAATTTCATCAGGTTTTTTTCATTCCATTTATTGTCCTGTATTTTTTGTCTGCGGTTCTTCAGTCTGTCTTTGTTTTTATCACCTTGAAGAACTCTGTCATCACCAGATTTTGTGTTCACTGCTCATCACCTTCTCAAGTTTAATATCTTTTGAACAGCACAGATGACTTGATCTTTGGAGGCTTTTCACTGGTGACCTAACTCTACTGTAAAAAGTGGCCCATGTATTTCTGTTTCTGTTGCCTATCTTAGTTCTTTTTGCCTCCAAGAATCATGCATTTTAGTTTTTACGACTTAGTTTCAAGAGTCTTTTGTAGAAGAACCATGTCACGTGACTGTTGGATTCTGTTGGAGTAGGCTGAATCATACAGATCTTCCTTTGCTTGTTGAGTTCTTCAAGAAGTTCAGTTGAGTTGGGAAATGGGATACATCTGAGGATGCTAAGAGAGTTGGCTGACATCATGTCAGAGCCACTTTCCTGTCATCTCTGAAAGGTCATGGAGATCAGGGGAAGTCCTGATGACTGGAAGAGAACAATCACACCCATCTACAAAAAAGGGATAAAAGCAAGATCAGAAACTGCAGAGCAGTCAGACTCATTTCAGTCCCTGGGAAAATTACAGAACAGGTCTTTCAGGAAGCTATTGCCATGCACATGAAGGAAAAGGAGGTGGTTTGGAAAAGCCAACCGAAATATACTATCATGCTTGACCAACCTGGTTGTCTTCTGCAGTGAAACAGTTTGCCCAGTAGACATGGGACGAGCTGTGGATGTCATCTACCTTGATTTTTAGCAAGGCATTTGACACAGTCTCCCACAATATCCTTCCTGACAAGCTGGTAAGATACAGACTGGATAGGTAAGATCACAAGATGGGTGGAAAACTGGCTAAACTGCTGAGTTCAAAGGGTGGTTGTTGATGATTCAAAGGCAGCCTGGTAGCCAGTCAGAAGTAGTGTTCCTTAGAGTTTGTTATGGGGTCAGATACTATTTTTATAACTGAGATCTTTATGACAGGACTGAATTTCCTCACCAAACTTGCAGATAACAGCAAACTGGAAAGAGAGAGAGAGATTCTGGAAGGAGGAGCGACCAGTCACAGAGACCTCAATAGTTTGGAAGATTGTGTTGATAAGAATTGCGTGAGATCAGTGGAAGTCCTTCACCTGGGACAGAATAATCTCAAGCACCATTACAGGGAGGAGTCTGACTGGCTGGGGTATACTTTTGCCAAAAAGAACCTGGGGGTCCCAGTGAACAGCAAGCTAAAAGGATTCAACAGTGTGCCCTTGTAGCAGTGAAGGTGAACCATATCCTGGGCTGCATCACCAATCTACTGTAGGCAGTAGATTAGGAAGTGTGATTATTGTACTCTATTTGGCAGTTCTTAGCCCACACCTGAGATAATGTGTCCAGTTTTGGTCCACGGTTTAGAAAGAGACATTGAAAAATAGGAGAGGATCCAGCAGAGGGCCACCACAATGATTAGAGGGTTGGAGAACTTAGCAAAGGAATAAAGGTTGTAGGGATTGGGTTTTTTCAGCCTTAAGAACCGAAGAAGGCTCAGGGGGATCTAGTCACAGTCTTCCAATACCTGAAAGGTAGGTATAGTGAAGATGGAGGTAACTGCTCACAGACACACACAGTGAAAGGACAAGAGGCAATGGCACAAGTTGTTTCAAGGGAAATTCCATCTGGATATGCGAAGAAAATTCTTTACCACTAGACACTGTGAACAGGTTGCCCAAAGAAGTGATGGAATCTCCCTTGCGGGAAATGAATAGTCAAGAGTCAGTTTAGGAGAGTCCTGGAAAACTTAATCTAAAGCCCTGCTTTCAGCAGAAGCTTGGGCCAGATGGTCTCCAGAGGTTCCTTCCAGCCTCAACTTTTCTGTCATTCTATGATGTCCTTTTACAAAAGCTATTGTGGCTTTTCTTCATATTAATCCATCTGCTTTTTTTGTGGGGGTTTTTTTGCTAATTTATCTACACCTGATAAGAATCTTATTGACTTGTGCTTGCCTGGAACTTGTTAAAATATTGGTGTCGCATCTGCCACCTGCCACTCCTCTTATATTAAGGCAGTTTTAAGTAAAAGCTTTTATACCTCTCTTAGTAGTTCAGTTATTTCACCTGTGAATTGCTGTAGACCTTTTGAAAAATACATTCTGATACTGGAGAGTTGATAGTTTTCATTTTGTCTGTTCGTTCAGTAGCCCTTGCTGTTGACACTTCAATAGCAGTCAGACCTTCAAATCCCTCATAAATAAAAGCTTTGCAGTGAGACTCTTCAGGCTCTTCCACAGTGAACACAAATGCAAATAATTTTTTTTTTCTGCTTTATCTTCTCAGAGTGCTATTTGTTTTATAACTCTATTGTCTTTTTATCAAGTGGACTGTCTAGTGGCTAGCTGCTCCTAATATGTTTAAAAAAAATGCTTTTTTATTGTTTGTTGAGTCTTCAAATTGTTTGGGTTTTTTGGACAGCCTGATGGTGGGGTTTTGTTTTGGTTTTTTTATTTGATAGGGTATTTTATGATTTGTTTAATATATTTTCTTTTTCACTTGGACAAAACTTCATTTTGTGTACTGATGTGGTAAAAATGTCTTCATTGTTGTTACCTTTGTGTTTAGCTATGATGGCTTGCTTTGAGTATTTTTTGGAGGGTAATAAACAGTCACTTTGAATCCATATACATTATTAAGGAATATCACACTTCAGAAAAGCTAGAGAATTTTGGGCCAAGTTCTCCATATGTACGTATCAGGACAAAATCAAGAGTTGCTACTCCTCTTTTGATTTGCATGCTTGCTCCATGAATCAGTTGATGGGGGCATCCAAAAATTAGTCCTTCTCTCACCTTCCAGTTTTAAGTTTACCCTGTCCACATAAGATTTTGTGGTTTTGCAGCCTATGATATCCTTCAGTATTTCACAGTCATTGTTGCTGTCTTGATCAGGTCATCTTTAATATGTATCCTATACTAAAAGTATTTTGGAAACTTGTCCTACTGTACAGTTAAAGTTGAGTTTCCAATCTGGAGGCAAGTCCTTTGGAAACCTGCCCCACCATCTCCTCAGAGCACTTTTAACCAAGTTTCCATGTAGAGGTCTGTCTGAAAAATTTAAAGATCACACACAGTTACTGCCATTCCTGAGTGTTTCCTATGGAGCATACTATGGTACTTCAGACTAAATGGGGATATTAGAAAATACAATTCTGGAAACGTGCTGTGAATTTATTTAATTTTTCTTAAATTTTGTCATTGTTTTATTCTGTTTTTCATTGTTCAAACTGTAAGGTATTTAAAATATGTGCTCTTCTTTAGTCTACATAGAATGTGAATGTGATTTAAGGTTATTGACTACTGTAAATGTAGATGGTAAATGACTGTAGATATTACATATAATAGGCCCAAGTGATTGAATTATATTCAGGGTTTGAAAGCTTTATAAATTGCCTAACTCATATGTAAAAGGTGTTTTTATTTAATGCCTCCCTCTTTTTTCTTTTTTTCCCAAAACTTGCTTTCTCAAAGGTTGAGAATGATCCTCGTATGAAATTGATGTACACAGAGTGTCTGAGGCTATGTGGAAGCTGGTTAGCAGAAACATGCTTGGAAAACCCTACAGTCATCATGCAGAAATACTTGGAAAAGGTGCATCCAGTCTTTGAAATGTGCAGTCTTTGAGATAATGCTGTGCTAAAATATGGTGTTAAAATGTCAAATTTTTCAATGCAGCCTTTGTTTTTCTGGATTGAAATTATGGTTTCTTATAAAGTATTATAGTTTCACATAGTATTGTGTAATACTGTAATTTTATAAAATATTCAGAATATATGTTTATAGAATTCACAGTGAAACTTCTGTGCAATATTGGCTTAGGAGTGCAGTGATTGCAACTATTAGTCCAGTTTTCCTTTCCTATTCCACTCCATCCCCATCTTTCCTTTCCTTCTCAGGACAGATCATTCACTTACCGTGTTTTCAGTATGGGCATTCTATTTGTAACATTCTCTTTCCAGGTGCTGGAAACTCTTGTTCTAGTGTTTCAAAGTACTGTAATTTTTTTTTAACTCTTAGTCAATAATAGAAGCATTTTTATTATATTTGTCCAGTCTGCATTTCTTTATTTCATGCTAATTTGTGAAACTCTACATAGTTGCTTTTCTCTGTTACTCTCTACAGGCTTTCTTCACTCTGATGATTTGAATCAATGACTTTCACATATAATTTCCTTTTCTTTTGGGCACTTTTTGGCCTGTCTTTTATTTATTCTCACCATCTTATATTGTAAGGTTGTAAAATTATTGTAAAACTTCATGCCTAGTTACTTTAAAAGATAGATAGCTGTAGGAGACTCCTGTATGGTTATTAAAGCTGTTTCATACAGGATAATCTTTTTGACTGTTTGCACTAGAACACTCCTCAAATATTAAATTCACTTAGGAGAAAAATACTCAACCTGGTAGGTTTTATTTTGTATGCATATATATTCCATCATAGGCAACATTAAATAACCTGTTTGAGCAGATGACCCTGCTTGAGCAGGGGGGTTGGACAAGATGACCTCCAGAGGTCCCTTCTAACCTCAACCATTCTGTTTTTCTGTGATAATAGAGTTTAATCAAGTATTACGCAGCACTATTAATCTGATTATCAGTCTTACCATTATTGTAACTTCCCTTTTAGGCTGTGGAAATTGCTGCAAGCCACAGTGGAGACAGCAGTGATGAGCTGAAGAAAGGAAAGATGAAGGCCTTCCTGTCTTTGGCTCGTTTCTCAGATAATCAGTACCAGCGAATTGAGAATTACATGAAATCTTCAGAGTTTGAAAATAAGCAGGCATTACTGAAGAAGGCCAAAGAGGAGGTTGGCCTCTTCAGGCAGCGTAGATTTCAGGCAAATAGGTGAGCATTCAAATGGAGAGGTGGCTACTATGGAGCTATTAAAGGCTCCATCTTTACTAATTCTCTGGGCAAGTGGTACAGCATGGGTCACATCTCTACAGCTGAATTTTTCCTTCTCCACAAAACAGTGGTCAAATCTGTAGTGCTTGTTGCAAATAGTTTCTGAACTGTGCCTGAACATGGTCTAGGAGAGTGCTAGGCAGTGTGGTCCAAAGCTAAGCCAAGGAATGTTACAGCAGTTAAACAGTATGGATGATCATGGGCCAGAATTCACATTTATTCCCTGGATCTGTTCAGTCTATTTGACAGGGAAAAGATTACAGAGTGGAAATAAATGAGTTTGAGATTTTTCTCCATTACACATTTGGTGAAAGAGTAGAATTCATCTTAATACAGAATTCTTAAAGATTTAGTAAGAACAATTGCAAGTGAGTGGATAAAATTGAACCTCAGCTGTTGGAAACTGAAGTCTTTACACAAATGATCTGGACTGGATATTCACATTTACACCAATATTGAGATTAAATCATTAAAAAGAAAAAAGACACTGACTGAAAATTTACTTAGAGGGGTGGGTCTGTGTGGACATACACCAAAGCAATAACTTCCACAATTTGGTTTCTCGGTTGTTTATTTTTCTGTGCTTGTACATACAAAACAAGTTTAAAAAATGTTAAATTAGTAAGAGAACTAGGGACGGCCTTGCTGTAAGTTCATTAAGAGATAATTTGTTGTTTAAAAATAATGTCTGTTCATATAGGTATACAGTGAAGGTTCAGCGAGAACTTGAACTGGATGAATGTGCCATACGTGCTCTAACTGAGGATCGTAAGCGTTTCTTGTGTAAAGCAGTGGAGAACTATATCAGCTGTTTACTAAGTGGAGAAGAATATGATATGTGGATCTTCCGACTCTGTTCTCTATGGCTTGAAAATTCTGGAGTTGATAGAGTCAATGAAATGATGAAGGTATATGTCTGCTGTTGCCTTTCCTTATACTTTGACATTAAATTATCCATCTTTCTTCTCCTTCTCATCCTATGTTTCTAGAAGATGAATTATAGTACTGTGCAGTGTACTTTCCTATGTATCTCCTTAACAGTTCCCTCAAAACTTGTTTTTTTCAGTCATCATTGCTCATCAGTTAGTTTTTCATCAGTGAGAGCTGTAATTCTCAATGCATTTTAATTTAATTTAATTCAATTTAGCATTTTAATTTGACAAGTCTGTATGATTAAGCATATTTCATGATCTTTCACTGTTGTCACCTTGTTCTTTACACACCTTGGATACTACCCATCTTCAACATCCTTTAGTACGTTATTCTACTTTATATAATACATACTTTTAGGTGAAAGGATATGCTTTGAGATTGTATAACACAGTAGCTGGGGACCAGTAAAGTTCTCATTCTCAGGCTTGTTCTATCATTTCTAGAATCATGCAAGAAATCTGCTAGTTCCTACCTAATGATCTGTGTATAACAGAAATCTGTATAATTTAATTATTTGCTTTGTATTATAATTAACTTTGAAAAATATAAAGTGTTCCTTTACTCACATTTTTAACACACAATTGTTTCTTGTCTTAAACTAGATTGTAATTTTTTTTTTCGATTAGGATTGTCTCTTGCCACAAAGAATCTAGAAATTAATTCTCAATCAATGTATCTAAGAGCTGCTCTAATATAATAGAAAATAGTTTTCTTATGAAGCACTTGTAGAATTTAGGGCACAGGGACCAAGATGATGTGATACTCACTGGATTGCTATTTGATCACACAGCAATGATTACTCTCAATTTAAAAAAGAATGCAAAACCAAAATTGCTAGCTCTTACCTGGTATTTTGTTATTAGCTTTGTGTGTGTGTGTGTGTTTAGTGCAGCTTTCTAACTGAATTTTCTCTACTACAGAAAAATGCAGAGAAGATTCCTTCATATAAGTTTTTGCCTCTGATGTACCAGCTGGCTGCTCGGATGGGAACCAAGAGGATGGGTGGTTTAGGATTTCATGAAGTTCTGAATAATGTAATTTATGCTTTTTATATCTAAAGATATTTTGCTTGGCTTAGTAGTGCATACTTCTAAAAAATATGTATCTTCCTTTGTGCAGTTGTAGCTAAATGAGTTATGTAGGTGACATAGGTGTATTAAAAATGAGTGATGCAAAATCAGTATAGTGGGGGGAGAAGGGGAGAGGATTGGAGACTTTTTTCCTTGCTACTTAATTGATTTTCTTGTTGTAGAATAGTCTTATGCAGGTATAGGAATGTACTTTGAATGTACTTTAGTTGTGGAAATACCATCGAAGTATTACTCTGTTTTTCTTATTAGGAACCTTAGAAGTTCAAAAGAATTAATAGTGTTAATTAAGTAATTTTTTTTCTTCTGTACAGTTTTCAATATTGGGATCTTTTTGTTTTTCTTGACAGCTAATGTCTAGAATTTCAATGGATCATCCACATCATACTTTGTTTATAATATTAGCTTTGGCAAATGCTAACAAAGATGAACTCCTCACAAAACCAGATGCAATAAGAAGAAATAAGTTAATTAAAAATGCACCGAAAGAAATCTCCCAGCTTGATGTGGTGACTACAAAAAAATTCTATTCTGTTAATCACATTCAGTCTTTTCATTTTGTTAAAAAATGGAAAAAAAAAAAGTCAAGGGGTATTTTAGTGTAGAGCTCATCAGCTGACATTTGTTAAGAAAGAGTAGGAGGAAGAAAGTACTTCTAATAATTAAAAAAAACTCCTTTTGCACATACATTGATAATTATTATTGAAGGAAGTAATTATGGGATGGAACAAATCATGGTTAACGAGTCCTTGATGTGTGATTCTGTAAAAGGCAGTTTAGATGCAACAAAGACTTGAGTGGGTTTATTTTTAAAAGTACGTACTGAATTGAGTATTTTTTCTGCTTTGAGTAATAACATCTGTTCTAAGTAAGTATTTAGCCTTGTGTGGGATATCTTTTGTTCCTTTATATGATCTTTATATGTTAAAAGCCATGATGATAGGTAATACTGAACTGTGCCTTCATGTTAATGTTGTTACAGCTTAATTTTTGTTGGAACCTGTCTTTGGAATCATCTCATATCTAGATTAATGCCCCTTCTTTCCCCCATCACTATAGGCCTGGCATGGTTGTTTGTCATTACACTCTTACTTCGTACACTGATACAATTTTTCACCACATTTTTATGTGGCTTTTTTTCATCTTTCTCTCAGATTTGTAGTTCTTTTGTGGTCCCACCCTTAGGAGTAGGATTGTGCTAAACTCAACTAAGTCTCTCAGAGTTAGGCATGATTTTTGCCTTTTCTGTACAGGCTTTTTTTTCCAGTTGGAAGGAAATAACGGAAGCAGGAAGATGGTGGAAGAACATCCAAAACTGCCTGTCCCTTTTTCTGAAGAATTTTTTGCACTTTGCCGGGACAGATTTGCTCCTTCTCCATCCCCAATAATTTTCTACTTTACTCATTATCTCAGATTAGACAACACAGAACTTTTCTTCGAATTATTTTTGTTCATATCAGGCTGTCCATTATTGCAATTTTCTCTGTTTTCATAGGATGTATCTCAGTTGTACTTACTTGACTGCATGTTATGATGCATCTTTAATCTTACGAGGTACAGTTTGCAAGATCTGATATTTGTATTCTGTTGGATTTTTTAGGACAGAATGGAGGCTGCTAGCAATATAATCAGTATCATAAGAAAAAGGAAAGCTCATATGGTTAGAGGCGTTGAAGCACTTTGTGATGCTTACATCACATTAGCAAATGTAGATGCTACTCCATGGAAATCTCAAAGAAGTAAGTCTTGGAAAAATTATTTTTGTTTTTAATAGTGAAGATATGTTTTATTTTCTTGGATTAAAAAGTGTATTTCTAAGTATTGATGTTTAGTTAAAGGAGATACTGTGCTAGCAGTGTGTCCTGTTTTTGATAAATGTAGAACTTAGTTTGGATCAAAAGTCATAGTAATTACTTGCACTGTAAGGTTCAGACTTTGAGTATGAAACTCCAGACAACTCCAGTTGTCCCGTGGTCATCATCAGCTCGACAGACATGTGCAATGAGGTTTTGGGTCCCAAAAGCAATGTAAGCTGGGTTTTGTGAGCTTTGATGTGTGTTTATAGTTCTGAATTTAAAAACACAAATTCCTTTTAATTACAGAAGGAATAAGTATTCCAGCTGACCAGCCAATTATTAAACTGAAGAACTTGGATGATGTTGTTGTTCCTACCATGGAAATTAAGGTGACTGAAGTTGAAATAAATACACACTATGATATCAAATCTTAGAATCAACTTCAAATTTTTATAATGGCAGCCAGGGCATATATTTCTTCATCAGATTCCCATGCTCTTTACAGGTCAGCCTACCAGGGGTACTTTCCTGTTAGATGGGAGATGCAATGTGAGATGCTTTCCTTAGGCTTTAGAAGACCTTGACCCCAAGTCTTACACTTGCTGGATAGTGGCTTATTGTGTGAAGATGGCTTTGCCACTGTTACCACTGACTAGCCTTTCATTATCAAAGGGGGTAGCAAGCTACCTAAATCCCAGAGAGGATCTGACTTTGTAAGTGCTAGCTCAGAGTTTCAGGGGGGCACTTAATGTCCAGAAAGTTGTGAGAATTAATAGATACGCCTCTTCAGCTGTTCTTAAATGGCCAGCTTATGTGTCTTTACCATTCAGTAATGGTGAATAACGCATTCCCATTAGCATAAGTGGTCGATTGTATGGGTGCACTCATTCTTAGATACCACATGCTCTACCTAGGAAACTTACCAGTTTCAGGAGTGTAGAGTTGTTTTTTGGGCCAGCCACCTAAAATGTACATCTCATGAAGCCAAACTTCCCTATGTTGAAGTCCCTCAGGCTATGTCTATAAAGCTAAATAAAACCAAGCCAAGGGACATTATGCCCTTTGACTTCAGAGGCCAGAAATTGCCACTCAAGCTAAATAGCATTTGTTTGTAGGGCTCCTGTTGGTCCCAGGTGTTGGTCCTTTGTATGACTTGACAGTTTCTTTGCCTTTCTTCTTCTCCAGTACTAACTATCTGAAATAGTTGAAGGTCTGCGATGTAAACAGCTGGAGTGATATTTCCTTATAGCTAACTGAGTAGGGTTGCTTTGTGGCATGAGGATATGGAGGATGGCTGAAGATACAGATCCTGTAGATTTTAACAATTTTAGGATTGTAGATTGAGTTTGTTTGCCGCCTAATGAAAGCCTAATGCCCCCCAGCTGTACATGAACATTTTCTAGAGACAGTGCTAGTTGGGACAGGCTGAAATTGTGTCAGAGCTTGTTTAGTGGAAGTCTGCAGCACCGTGTCCCCTCTACCAATGAGGTGAACAAGGAGGAATCAAACTCACTCCTTTGCTCAGCATATTTTTGTAGCCTTTGTGGGTATTATCCTTGTAGATGATGGTATGCTTATATTAATATTTAGCATATAGTCTGCTAATGAGGTTTGCAAACAACTCATTACCACTTTCTCTGAGTGAAATGGAGGTAATATTTGTATTAATTTTAAACTAATTTATAATTTCAGGTGGATCCCACAGGACGCTATGAAAATTTGGTGACAATAAGGTCTTTTAAGCCAGAATTTCGGTTAGCAGGAGGCCTGAATCTGCCTAAAATAATAGATTGTGTAGGGTCAGATGGTAAAGAAAGGAGGCAGCTGGTAAAGGTAAGTTCTGTCAGTTGTAATGACATCTCAGACACTTGGCATGTAGAAATTTTTTTTAAGTTCTTGTGTCAGTTTTCTCATGTATCACTTCTGTACCATGAGCAGACTTTTCACAGCTCAGTGTCAGTTTTCTCAGTGCAGGAATGCTTTAATAAAGGAAATTACAAAGTAATAATAAGTAATATAACAACAACAACAACATCATAATAATAATATCTAATAATAAGTAATAATATTTAATATTTTTGTAACTATTTTTCAGTAATGCATGTAATATACAGTAGCTTACCTGACAGCAACCAGATCTTGCGTGGTCATGCCTCAAGGAGTGACCTGGACTGTACAGCAAGTAAAAGCCATCAACATTTTGTGTTAAATACCTCTGTTTTTCTTTCTTCCCCATATAAAAAGAATTAAAATTCAGAGACAATCAAAAACATGCACATAGAAACACAAATCTCTCAAAAAATTTATTTCTCATTAAACTCAATTGATTTCATTCTGTCTCTCTTTGAATGTAAACATTCAGCAGCTGCTAGGAGAATTCTGTTTTGCTGTTAAGTATCGGGTAGTTTTGCAAGTTTTAAAGAGAAGCATAAATCGCTAGATCTGCGTCCAATAATCAGAACTGCAGCGCCAACTGATGCTGCTTCAGCTGTGTGCTGGATTGCTAAATATGGTGAATGAAACATCCATTTTTTTAAAAGGGTACCGTGAGGCAGGTAGGTCAATTGAAACCTTAATCAAATAACATTTGTCAAAAAAAAGAAGAAAAAGGTGATGTTTTAAGTTAATGATGGTTCTGTTTAAGCAGCTGAGCACTATTAGAAAACCAAATGCAGAGAAAAACAGTTGTTAATTACATTTTATTACAGGTGATTATTGTGGAAAAGTAACTTGTGTTTTGTGAAAATTTTTTAAATAATTTTTTAACGTTGATGAACAAGAAGTTGGATGCTGAAAAGTGTTCTTTAACTGCTTTTTCTGTTTATGCTAAAGGGGCGTGATGACCTGAGACAAGATGCTGTTATGCAGCAGGTTTTCCAGATGTGCAATACATTGCTCCAGCAAAACACTGAAACACGAAAGAGAAAATTAACAATCCGAAGATACAAGGTAACACTAAACAGCTGCTGCAGCAGAGGAATAACTGCTACCGATAAAGCATATTTCTCCATTCTCCTCTTTTTAACCCAAAGACAATATAAAAGTGTATTTATTTGTGTGTTGTTAAAATATTCACTGCTCCTTTAAGGTATGGAATAAACAATTAATACAATTTAATTATTAAAATTACAACAATTATTACAATTTAATTTTTTCTAAATCCTTAAAAAAAAATTCTGATGCCAAATATATATTTAAATACTTTTCAAAGCTTTCTTTACATGAACTTATAATTGAAAAGAAATTAAGTCATGCGCTGTCCTTGAATTGTAAGTTGCTAGTCATTAAACTTGAGCATACAAACTTGTTTATGAATTCTCATCCATTTTAGTGTTGCGATATTCCTTAATTAATAATTAATTTTAGTCTTGCAGTATTCCTTACAATTGAATCCAGAAGTCCCATCTAGTGTCCATGCAGAATTTGAATTGCAGAACTGTTTTTGTTGGAATTGGAAATACAAGAATAAATTCTTATTGTGAATGCAGAAAGTGTATTTGAACAGGAACTTTCCCCTCCTCCTTCCTTTTTATGTGCTTGGGTTTATAACAAAAGCTATGAAGGTGACCTCTGAATAAGTGCTCTCTAAGTAAAAGTTCTTGTCTTTGACAAATGAGAAATGTGCACTCCAGAATCTCTAAAGGAGCTTATCTGGATTGCTAGCATAGTTTTAAGAATTCACAGGTGGAGTTAGAGTCACGGTTTTTTGACTAATTTTCAGTGAAGACTCAGGTTTTTATGTGTGCAAAAATGAATGAGATAAAGACAGTTTAACAGTTAAAGGAAAAGCCGCACACGCAAGCAAAGCAAAACAAGGAATTCATTCACCACTTCCCATGGGCAGGCAGGTGTTCAGCCATCTCCAGAAAAACAGGGCTCCGTCACACGTAATAGTTACTAGGGAAAACAAACGCCATCACTCCAAACATCCCCCCTTCCTTCTTCTTCCCCCACCTTTATATGCTGAGCGTGATGTCATATGGTGTGGAATAACCCTTGGGTCAGTTTGGGTCAGCTGTCCCAGCTGTGTCCCCTCCCAACTTCTTATGTCCCCCCAGCCTGCTCGCTGGTGGGGTGGGGTGAGAAGCAGCAAAGCCCTTGGCTCTGTGTAAGCACTGCTCAGCAGGAATGAAAACATCCCTCTGTTATCAACACTGTTTTCAGCACAAATCTGAAATACAGCCCCATACTAGGTACTGTGAAGAAAATTACCTCTGTCCCAGCTGAAACCAGCACACTGCTACAGCAATTGAGGTAACTCAGCAGCAACCCCATGCAGCGCTACAGGCTTGGGGAAGAGTGGCTGGAAAGCTGCCTGGCAGAGAAAGACCTGGGGGTGCTGGTTGACAGCCGGCTGAATATGAGCCAGCAGTGTGCCCAGGTGGCCAAGAAGGCCCATAGCATCCTGGCCTGTATCAGAAATAGTGTGGCCAGCAGGAGCAGGGAGGTGGTTGTCCCCCTGTACTCAGCACTGGTGAGGCCGCATCTCGAGTACTGTGTTCAGTTTTGGGCCCCTCACTACAAGAAAGACATTGAGGTGCTGAAGCTTGCCCAGAGAAGGGCAACAAAGTTGGTGAGGGGCCTGGAGCACAAGTCTTATGAGGAGCAGCTGAGGGAACTGGGGCTGTTTAGTCTGGAGAAGAGGAGGGTGAGGGGAGACCTTATCGCTCTCTACAACTACCTGAAGGGGGGTTGTAGTGAGGTGGGTGCTGGTCTCTTCTGTCAGGTGGCTGGAGATAGGACGAGAGGAAATGGCCTCAAGTTGAGGCAAGGGAGATTTAGGTTAGGTATTAGGAAAAATTTCTTTACTGAGAGGGTTGTCAGACATTGGAATAGGCTGCCCAGGGAAGTGGTTGAGTCACCATCCCTGGAGGTATTCAAAAAGCGAGTTGACGGGGTACTTCAGGACATGGTTTAGTGAGCATGGTTGATGGTTGGACTGGATGATCTTGAAGGTCTTTTCCAACCTAAATGATTCTATGATTCTATTACAGCCAGTTATGAAGTGAGAAACTGTTCCCTAGGATGGAAAGCAGAGTAAGACAAACCTAATATGTTCACACAGCTACCATATGTTTGTTCCAGATTTTACTTTTTGTGTGAAATTTCCACAATGCTTGTATTATCCCATTCAAGCATAGCAAGCTGTTGGCAATCACAGGTCATTCAGAATACCAACGCAAACATGCAAATTGAGTATAATCAATAAGTTGTATTGAAGTACCTAGTAGAAGGTTCTCTGGTCTAGGAAGAAATTTGCAAGTATTTGATTGACAGAAAAACCTTGAGTGTATTTTATATATGTGTATTTAGAACATATATTGGGGTAAGCTGTATGGTTTGGAGGGGTTTTGTTGTTGTTTGTTTGGGTTTTTTTTAAAACAAACACAAATATACACCCACGCTCTGTGGCATGCATATTCATAATTGTGTGTGTATAACCCTTCCCCATGTAGCAGTGGTTTTGTTTTTACAGGTGGTTCCCCTTTCTCAGAGAAGTGGTGTTCTTGAGTGGTGCTCGGGAACAACTCCCATTGGGGAGTTTCTTGTGAATGTCAACGAGGGAGCTCACAAGAGATACAGGCCAAAAGATTATTCCAGTTATCAGTGTCAGGAAATAATGATGGTGAGTCAAAATAATTAAAGAAAAATATCTGGCTTACATTCTTTTACACAGAGGGTTGGTTTTTTACATATTTATGGAGAATTATATACTATGCTCTAAGTATATCATAATGAATATGACCAGTGGCATGAAATTAGTAGTTCTTCAAACTAATCTGAATGCAGCCTGGGAAGAGTTCTTACAAAATCAAAAATTGCTAAATGAATGACTGTTGCAGGAAAGATTTGAATATAGCTGAATCTCGAAGAAGTCTGTGAACTCTTTTCTGGAATATAAATCTATTGGAATTCCAAAGTGATCATTACAGAGACCCAACAGTGTCAGTATAAGGTTATCTGACAGATTTAAGTTTTATTTGTCATGTTTCTCATTGCATTGAAAAATCATTTTACTTTCACGAATAAACCAAAATTCTAAATACTAGTCCTTGAAAATAAAAACATGGTTTTAGAATGCAGCTGAGATGAATGTAATGTCTTAATTGCTGTTAGACAGTATGAAGGGGTCTGGCTTCTCCTCCACCATGACAGCCATGTACCTTACACCCCCCATAGTGAGTCAGCACAGGGAGCTAAGCCAAAGAAGACTAACTTTATGTAAACTGGCAGAAAAATACCTGGTTCAGTAGATACAAGTAGAGGAAGGTTCTTTCTTCTGATGGTAGGTAGCTGCTATGTGGATTCAGCTGGTTTAGTTTAGTTCCACAAACCACCTCACCATACATTTAGAAAATTGCAAATTTTACTTTATATCACCATGATTGTGCAAGAAATTATTTCTTTAAGTTGTATAGTACTAACAGGATGAAAGAATATTTAAATCTGGCTTTGTGCAGCTTTTGCATGTGAATGAGTGAGAATGACTTTCTTGCAGTGACATGAGCCATCAGATAAGCAAAGATACCAGAACAGAGTGCAGGAGGAAGTATCTCCCAACGAGATGTGCTTACCTGTACCTGCATATAAAATACACATGCTGAGCCAAAGAAATGGGAGTATGTTTTTACATGTAGCCCATGAGTTGTGTATGAAAATTTAATTTAGTAAAACAGATAGAAAGGTGCACTAAAGATTGCTGTAAAAAAGACATTAATTCATAGCTCAGAGAGGGAAAGGAGTGAGAACAGCATTTGATGGAGGGGAGAGGGGTAGAAAGGAGGAATGTATTTATTTCAAAGGAAGAGGTAATTTCCTTTCGGAGCAGTCAGTCATGGGGAAAACATTTTGTATTTGTTTAAAGGGTGCACAAAAGGAACATTCTGAAGAGAAATACAACCTCTTTGTGAAAGTCTGCGAGAACTTTCAGCCTGTGTTTCGTTATTTCTGCATGGAAAAATTCCTGGATCCAGCTGTGTGGTTTGAAAAACGGTTGGCGTACACTCGCAGTGTGGCCACATCTTCTATAGGTATTATATTGGATTATTAACATGGACTTTTTAGATTCTGTAAACAAAGAGTTTGTACCATTCCAGAGGTAATGGCTATTCTGCTTTTGTCACATGTCATAAAAGGGGCAGTAGGGGGCAAAAACCGCCAGCAAGAAACACCAGCATTCTTTTTGTAATTAAGATTTCTGATTCATCCCCCCACTTCCCCACTGCCCCTTTCTGCAGTAGAAAAACAGCATGAAATTCTGGTTGGTTTTTTTTTATATAGTGGTTTGTATTTTTAGGTTCTGGTAGGTTTCTTTAAAGTTTCTACCTGACTAATTCTGTTGTTTTGATTTATCATGTACTCATTTAATCTCAAATGTTTTAACTGAGTTGAAAAGCTTAATCTTTTACTTTCTTTGTACTGGCATCATTAGCCATGGCTGAAATTTTTTTTAAGCTTTGGCATTTTCACCTTGATTTTGTATCTTAATAAGGAGATATATGTACTTGGACTGTGGATTTCCTTTGGATGACTCGCTTCTACATGGAATCTCTGGAAGACATTTGATAGTAGATTGTATACATTGCAGTAGATCCTCTTTTAGATGTTAGCATGTTGTTTATACACCTCTTTTTGCTGAAAAAAATGAAGTAGATGTATAGTTCAGGAAAATTCAGATGAAAGACTTTTGTAGCAAATACTACTGCTATCCATGTCCATTACCTAATAGAAAAACAGTAAAGGGTGTAATTTGCAGCAAGGGAGATTTAATTTGAAGGTTTCTACATTTAAGGACAGTAAAGTGCTGAAATAGGCTTACACAAAAGATCTTATAAATTGTGTCACTGGAGATTTTTAAAATTGACTTAGACAAGAATCACTCAGGAACTATTTAGGTATGGTTGAGCCGCCCCTACTGAATTATGTGCAGTCCTATTTTCTGGATTACATGATACTGTGAGTTAAAAGGTTTTTTTAAAAATAGTAATAATAAACCCTAATTTTCTTGTGCACTTGGCTTTTATCCTTTTTTTTTTTTTTTTTTTTTTTTAAAAAGCTGTGAAAGTGTTTGGTTAACCTGTCTACAGAGAGAAATGGGAAGGAGTCTGTGGAGTAGATGAAACAATACACAACTGTATGAGAATAACCTTTTTACAACTGTATTCAGTTAGCCTTTTGAGTTTGGATTTGTGGAATGGCATTTGCTCTTTGCTGGAGTAATATGTATACACAGGGGAAGAAATAGTCTCACTTCTGTTTGCACGTGTTACACTGATTCTAATAATCTCTTTGTTAAATTTTCCCTGGTTTTTATGGCATGTAAATATGGTTTCAGCACTTAACCTTTTTGTTTTAGTTGGCTACATTCTTGGACTTGGAGACAGACATGTTCAGAATATCTTGATAGATGAACAAACGGCAGAACTAGTGCATATAGATCTGGGTAAGTAGGACAGGCAAGAGAACCTTAATTTTTCTTTACTTTAACATTTTTTAAAACACTTCTTATCCTTTCATTTAGGGGTTGCTTTTGAGCAAGGTAAAATCCTTCCCACACCAGAGACTGTTCCATTTAGATTAACCAGGGACATTGTGGATGGAATGGGTATTACTGGCGTGGAAGGAGTCTTCAGAAGGTAAGTGCTCCTGTATTGCATAGGGGTAAGGAGGCAGCAGAGTACCTTCGGCATTAACATTGTTACATGTTAAATAGTTCCGATGCTTGTGGTGATAGTATCCAAACCTAAATGCTGTCCTCTAATTCATACACTCTTATTTATATAACCAATTACAAGTTCATTATTGTTGCTCAGCTTTTCATATTCTTCACTAATAATGGGTTATTGTCACCTTCTTGTGGAATTCTGGGATGGCTCAGTGCTTCCAAAGGCTCCACAGCTAAATTTCATCCCTTGATTTAGACTGCTGGATTTTTTTCCTTCAGAACTATGTATTTCTTTCAGAGCTATACTATATATTTGGAGCTAATAAGTTTCTTTGAACCATTTTGGTCTGTCTCTTATTTCTGTTCAGTTTTATGCAAGTAATTTGCAGTCTTTTCCTCTTTTGGATCATATATTTGATATTACTTTGCAAGTGCAATATGTCAGTCCCACAATAGATTTGAGCTGGAAAACAGAAGAATCCTAAAAGGGCTGAGTTTCTGTCAACCTCCATCCTATCTTCTGTGAATGACCCAAGAGAGCCCTGAAAAGGAGGACATTTCTCTCTTCATGATGTTTGCAAACCCCAAATTTCTTGTCTTTAAAAAAGTACATAGTGTTGTCTTTGTAAGGTAGCAATTAACGTTAATAAGTAGTTCCTAATATACCTTTGTCCTGTGAAGGAACAGTCACTGCCACTTCTATTCTAAACATGATGGTGTCAAATTCACAGTTCCGTGTTACTTCTGAAACTTTTGTCCAATGATACAGAAAAACATTAATTGTTTGGCTGCAGCTGAAGTAAATACAGTATAAAAGGCACTGGTGCAGATAACTGTTTCTGCCTCAGCCAGATTGACTTGTAACTAACAGTTTAGGTGTAAGTGCATAAAGAAGTCCTCTCAAGATGGGGTGTGAACATAGTTAACTTTGTTGGGTGTGTTCTCATCCTGAAGTAGACAGGAGGCCTAATTCCTCTTTCACTGGAGTACCTGTCCTGTAAGGAAAGTTTTGTATTCCTTCCACAAGTTTAGTTTGCTTGGGAGTGAATGGAAGTAACCACTTCTGTATCTAAACTCATTGGAGAGATTTCAGAAATAGTTTAAAGTCTGGCTACTGTGCTCATTTCACGTTAAGGAACCCTACCAAGATTCTCCAACGTGTTGCAGAGCACGTGGCACACACGTTTTCATCCAGCCAAGCAGTTCTGCCATTGTGACATACCTGAATGGTCAGTGTTAACTCAGTGGTTAGTTATGCATATAGAAACATTCCAGGCGGTGAAACGGGTAATCTCTTTCCCAGAGGGAATATATTCAGTGAACTACCCAGTCTTCTTCTGGTCTTACATTTCTAAATTTCTTCCCCCCCCCCCTCCAAAATGTAAATATCAAAGAGGTTACTTAAATGTTAGAAATTAACTTTTAAGAAGGGTACAAATATCTGTTATTTAAATGATGAAAATACCATTCTATTCTACCAAACTTAACCTAAAAATACAGTAAAATTTTTTTTCTAGATGCTGTGAGAAAACAATGACTGTTATGAGAAATTCTCAAGAAGCTTTGCTGACTATTGTAGAGGTAAGCATTTTTTCATTCTTTCTGCTAGTAACCTGCCAGAATATCCTTAGTTTCTTGGTTTTGTCTTCATATGCATTACTATACCAAATATTCATGTAGGGGTTTTTTGCTGAATTTGAATGTAGTAGTGTTGGCCAGATTTGTTAATTCATGTAATCTTCAATAAAATCAAGACCAGCTTGCATTTTCTATGGTAACTATTCATTTCAGGCATATGCTGTTTTCCCTCTTCAGTATCTAAATGTTTCTAGCCATAGTGCAACATTCCTAGCATGAGTAGTGCTGACTGAATTAAGTCCTCTTTGCATAAGTCACAAAGAGGAGAATTAAAGTAATTTTTTAAAGCAGCTTACACTATGCATTAAAAACTAACAATGATATTTAGTTCCTAGAAGAGTATTAAAAACTTACCTCTTCATTGCTGAGATGGGACTAAGTGGCAAAACTGAGTCAAGTGTGAACAACACAAATACCTGCAAATGACCAGATGCAGTTTTATTGTTGGATTGTCTACTAAGCAATTTAGCCCAATTCTATTGGATTTAAAAAACCCCCGCAAACCTCCTAATATTGTGGTTAGCGTGAGCATTACCAACTGAGTATTTCTCTTCCTGCTAGGGCACTGAACTAGCTGTAATTAACAGTTTAAATTAAATAGAGGTTTATTTACTGTGTAGGTGCTGCTATATGATCCTCTTTTCGACTGGACCATGAACCCCTTGAAAGCTTTGTATTTGCAGCAGAGACCGGAGGATGAGGCTGACATGAGCTCTACACCCAATACTGATCCACAGGAATGTAAAAGGAAAGCCAGGTGCAAGATTTTTTTTTTCTTACTGTCTGCCTACTGCACTGTTGCCTTGCTTTATGTTTTTCTTACTCAGTGTTGCTCACATTGTTCAGGATCCATATCTAGTGCGCCTGTTTTTCTTTTTTTATTCTGCCAGCAATGATGACCAGAGTTTTAACAAAGTGGCTGAGCGTGTTCTGATGAGACTTCAGGAGAAGCTGAAAGGTGTTGAGGAGGGAACAGTGCTTAGTGTGGGAGGCCAGGTGAACCTTCTCATACAGCAGGCCATGGACCCTAAAAATCTAAGCCAGCTCTTTCCTGGATGGAAACCCTGGGTGTGACTTGGAAGGATCCAACACGTTTTTAGAAGAAACCTATTTTTATGCACCAAGTGTCTTAACATTTCACATTGGTATTTTACAATTAAAACTTGTATCAGGAGTAACCATGAAGGCTTATACGTATTAGGATTCAGTGGATGTTTGGGGTTTTGGTTTTTTTTCAATAACCTATTAGTGTGAAAATTTTTTTTTTTTGGTCCACTTATGTTCACCATACAGTATAAAACACCAGCCAGTGCTTTGATGTTCCTTGTGACCTGCAAACTTTTCTTGGGCATACTGGATGCTTTATATTCTTAAAGCCTGAGATTCATCACTTTTGTGTAGTGACTGTGTAGAATGGATGGTCTGAAACAAAAGAGTCATGAAATAACTAGCTAAAGTGCATTTCAAAAGGGGGGTTATACTTTAAAGATAATGCTACAGTGAATATAAAAGAAAACCAGAGAACCTCATGTTTAACGAACTGAGGATTCTTGGGTTGTTTTTTAGCTTAGTTAAATGGACAGTTCTTTATATAGATACAGACTTTGAGCCAAGTATAATACGGCTGCTTTTTTTCCTGTTGTAAATGAAATTATGTTGGTACTTTATAACATTACTTTAATAGTACAAAACAATTTAAAATATTTAGCTTTTGTAGCTCAGACTTCCTTGATGAAATAGACTGACTATATAATGGAGTTTAGCATACCAGATATGCCTCTAAAGCAAACAGTCATTCTTTATCTGGAATAAACACCTATCATAAACATTGTACTTGTATTTTGAGCACAAAAATTTCATTCTGATTGCACACAGTTTTGCAGAAGACATTGTTCCTTCTGAAATAAAAAGACCTACTGTAATTGAATAGTCAATGAATATGGATAATAAGAGAATCCACTCAAATAACAGTCTCACTGGTATATTTAATAAATCTTCCCAAATCATATTCATATTTAAAATATGAATAAAATTTGGCATACTCTCACATTATCTTAGTTTACACTTTATGCATTTTTATAGCAGTATAAGTGAAGAATTTCTGTTCTAACTAACATTTCATTGATTTTTATTTGTACAGTGTTCGCACAATTTTTATGCTGTATCTTTGGTTTTTAAGTTAATGTCAACATGGCAAGATGGTTCTTTTGTGTTGCATTTTCACGAAGCTGACATAAATGTCTATTGATCCTTGGAACCAAAAGCGCATCCTGGCTTTTCTGTGGGGAAGAACTCTCATCCAGGGATAAAGGGATTTGTTCTCTGAAAATGACACTTACCTGACAGAGCACACACTCTGTATGTGAATTTTAAATGACACTTTAGGAAAGGGAGAATAGTGCTACCAAGCAATTACAGAATGGCAGGTAGGAAAGAACTAAACAAAAAGCACTTAAGTTTTTACTTTTAAACATAAATTTAAAAATCGAGTAGCATTTCTGGAATTTTTTCTCATGCTTCCTATGGAGGAAATTCTTTAGGCATTTTGGGGGTTATTTAATACTAGAACTCTAGCTAATCATATAAATGAATATTGCATAAAAGCCCTTGGCAGATCCTGTCCTTCCTTCATGAGCTACTGATGTTCCACTTGGATACTTTCATCTTGCTCGGCTGCAATTTAGGGTTTTTTACTTACAGCCAACAGTGAAATCATTAATATTGATACAGTTTTCTCAGGAAAGTCTAGCTTCAGAGGAAAGAATTTAATTATTCCTCTGCAATGCTGTTAACTTGGTGTTTAGTGCCTATATTTTGAATGTCCATACACTTTAATTGTTCAAGCTGAATGAAATGCAAATAAAAAATGCATTAAATATTGTAAATGTAATTGAAACCTGCTTACATTATTTGTAAGTTCCTGTACCAGTGAAACACCAGTTAGCTGACAAACATGAAAACAGTTTGAGTTACTAACAAACCTTAGAGTCTCCAAAACACTGTCAAAATGAGTATGACACAATGCTGTTTCTGAGATCTGTGTTCAACTAATCTAACATTCTTGAGATAATTGTCATCTGTGCAAAATCTCATGTAGCCAAATAGTAATTAGCAGAGACTGTGCTTTCTTTTTGTTCCAGTAATGCCTTAATTTTTAAAAGTCAAAATCAGAAAGTCAATGGTTTGCAAAAATGTATCATCTATAGATACACACTTTTCCTTGTATAAGAATAGAAAAATAAAACCTGGGTGGAAATGCTGTTTAGTTCTGAACAGTGGTTTTGTCACAAATGCTACTACTGATGGTAAGGTGGATTAGTATTTGAAAGCCTCAAATATATTTAGTATATTAGTAAGCTAGAAATATGTGAAGACAAGTCAAGTATTAATTTTAGTATTATTTTTTTTCTTGGAATGCATCTTAGTAATTTTAAACATTTACATTTAGAAAAGATAATTCCTAAGAAAAATGAGCCTGTGGTCTAGTATGATGGGGAAGAGTTTTTAAACAGCAACATATTTATTTGAAATTAGCTTTTTCTGGTGAAACTTCTGTTAGAGAAATGTCCTCAGGAGTATGAACTGTAAAAAAGTGTTAGCAGGTAAACCTATTTGAATTACATACCTGACTGAACTTTTCCATCAGCAAAGAACTGTCCCATGAATAGGAATCAGATTAAACTGGCCACCTGGTACATCCAACTTAAATAAAACAAGGATGTCAGTCTTCATGAGTGCAGATCTGAAAACTTCTATTGTTCTTGGAGATAAAACCACCCAAAAATAATTTTCTCAGTAACTATGAATTAAGTAGTTCATTATTCTATGTTACTATGAAACTCTTGAGTTTATATAAAGTATTCACTACAATTTACTAAATATACTACTAAATATTTTTAAATGCACTAAAATGTTAGGCTTCATATTTTCAGGGGATAATGCACTCTATTATACATTGTTACTAATTGTACTCTTCATGAATATTGTTATTCAATACCTGCACAAGTGGTAATGCTTCAATGACAAAGGGTCAATAAACATACCTTTGTAAAGAGGCGATTCCAAAATCTGCCCAGGGAATTTGGTTGTGTGATTGGTAAGTGATGACACTATACTTTTTTTACTGCTACTTTCATCCCTGTGAATTTAAAGCTAAAGTAAGGCAGTCGTGTTGTTTTGTGGAACCTGTAGATAGCCTGAAACAGCTCTCGGGGAGATTACCTCATACCAGTACTTAATGATGACACCTAAATATTAGCATTAAATAAAACTGTTCATTTCAGCAGGTAGGTTGAAGAGTGAAACCACAGCGATAAAGCTGGGAAGTGTGCAAGGGAGGTTTTAGGTTCTCTTGCCACCACATTTCAAAGTCTTGCCTGTATCCTGATTATAGGAGAAGACTAATGTGTTGTTCATCATCTATCCTGTACATTAACACTGTTAAGTACACCTATACTTCAGCTTTCAGAGCTGCATAGTGAATAATGTCAGTAATATCTTGTAAGGGTGCACACAACTTCTGCTCTCCCCGCTTCCTCATACTTTCCTCACTACTGCATGTGTGTCCACAAAAAATGAGGCACAAAGTGACTACACCCTTCCCTGCCCTGGAGAGTTCCCACTGCAGCATCCATAGCTGTTCCACCCTCTCTCCACACCCATTTTGCCAAACTACGCACAGCATACAACAGATTTGAGCTTATTTGGTTGCCTCACTTGCTGTATACCACTTACGCTGGATGCAAAGCAGAAAGGATTATAAGAAAATGCAACTACATATAGAAGATCCTCCTGTTGAAAGAACCTCTGTTCTTGCATTGAGTTGTGAAGAAGTCCTCCACTCTTAAAAATTCCTCGGCTGTGTTGCACCACGTCTTCCCTGCAGCTTGTGGGATGGAGCAGTGTTACAATGTGGGTGCTCAGTGGTGACTGACTGCTTCTTGAAGATTGTCTGATAACTAGCAGAATTTGACCAACTACTATTTTTCTTTACAGACAAGGGTTTTTTTTCTGTGATTAAAATGGAACTGAAACAGTGCTGGGCATATTCCATATGTTCACACATCGAGAATGGGAGAAGAAAGGGGTGGGGGGAGAGAAGGAGAGACTCTGCATGCTTTTCTAACTACTGCAAAATAAAGTTTTCAAGTCTCCAGTCACAGGGCATATGCTGTTTGACTGTGCATCTGGATTATAAATAGCATCCTTAATGCTAGTTATTGCTAAGTCACCTCGCTGTTCCCAGAGCACTGTTCTAGTTGTGCAGGAAAATCTTGCCACAGAGAACACATACTTGACTTGCAGAAACCTTTTAGTATCTTGATTTGTTCACCTAAAGCCCCTGTTTTGCACCCCACACACACACCATGTTTGCTTTCACAAAAGCAGAGAAAATTGAGCTTATGGATTGGCAATTTTGTGTTCTGGAAATTAAACAAGTGGTACAGCAAGAATGAAGCCATTTCCTAAAATGTAGTTCTGCTTCTGCACCACAGCTATAACTTGTTTTATGGGAAGTTAGACAGCTATCATGCATATAAAGTTCTTCAGGCTGTGATGCCTTGGAATAGATTTTTCTGGTGGGCAGGATTAATTTCTTAGTATTTGGGAAAATTCCTTTATGCTGTGTGAGATGTCAGCACCTAAAGTGCCAAAATGGCAGTTCCTTAAGCTGAGTGAAGTCCATACAGTTGTGATTTTGGTGCATCATTTAACAAGGGCCAGATAAGTAGTTTTTCCACATCTGTTTTATAAGCATATATATATATTATTGAAGTATGTACTTCAAATACTTCCATCTGAAAAAAAAAAAAATCTAATTCCACCAAGAAGCTTTAATCTCACCAGTTCCTCACCAGTCCCTCATATAAACACATAGCATTATGCTTCCCACTTTGTATTAATTATTATAGTATTTTTGTACAGTATATAACCTCAATAAAGGGAGAGTAGATTCCTGCTTTTATGTGATTATTTTTTTCCATCTAGATAAGGATCTGTTAGTTTCTCACTGAAGGTGTTAAGACTTCCATATGAAAAAAAGGGTTGCATCCACATACACTTTCCCGAAACTACCAGCATCTGTGATAGAGAGTTCTTCAGATTTCCCAGAGCTGTATTTTTATTTCCAGAAGACAAAACATTTAGTTGCAGGTGCTCTTCAAGTCTCTGTGGCCACTGCAGAGAGAATGACAGCTTTGGAAACTCTATCCAGAAGTGCTCCACACAGAGTTCAGACTACAGTGAAATAAACAATTAATAAGGTAGTTGTACTTCATCTCTCATGACTTACCTGGAATTTCCAGAAACCTTCCAGTCATTGTAGCCCTGAGCTTACTTTGACTGAACACTACTGTTGGATTTTGGCCCACCAATAATTAAATGTGCATACAGTCCATCAGCCAAAGGACAATCTGAAATTACATAGTTGTACAATAGCTAAAACTTGGAGTATGTGCGTTCCACAACATATCTTCCACCCCGCTGTGCTGTTCTTTAAGGGAATTTAACTTTCTACCAGCAAGGTCATACATCATAAATTTTATCAACACGACCATTGTTCGATAGAGAGTTACAGTTTCAGTCCTCAAGTCTACAGCCCTGCTTCCAGCCCCCCTAACGTGCTGTGGAAGTTGTAGGTAACACTTGTCAGCAGGGGAGTCTTTGCTCAAATGAGTACTTCCTGTGAGCAGTTTCCAAACCAAATGCTTTCATGGAGGAGAGACTCTTGGAGTGCTCCTGACCTGTGTTCAAGTGGTTGGCACTTCAGGACTAGACCAGTAACTCCTCTTTCAAGATTTTCCTTCAGTGAAGTTTGCCAAGCTATCTGAAATAACTTGCATTATGCAAATCTTTAACTTGAAAGTAACATCAGCTTATTCAATTAAAATTTTAAAATTAAGTCAATTACTCTAATGAGAAATAAAAAATGAAGCAATATCTAACCACCCTCACTAGTATCTCTTACTCTGCTTGTCTTCGCATTGGTTTGTGTTTCCATTTTCCAGCAGACTATCTGACTGTGCCCACAGACCAAGTCCAAGGATGGATCCCTGACTGGGGCTCTTCTGGCTACCATGTACATTTATTGCCTTAGGAAGAGATTTTTGGTCAGTTTCTGAAATACCTCTCTGTTGCAGACCAATCTGCAGTTGTTTTAAGATGACGCTGAATCTTGTGTTGCATGAATGGGGTGTAACATGAGGTTATCTGGGAGTGTTTGAGGATATAAAGCCTGTTGGACCAGTGCGCGGTTGGGAGGAGCCAAACCTCCTGCAGTGCTATCCAGTCCCTTTTGAACCCTGTTCCTGGAATGAACTGTCTGTCAAACTGAAGCCAAGTATTGCTCAGAAAGAGCCAACTGGTGCTGTCCAAAGCAGAGCCAGAAATGAGATAATTATTAAGCAGCATAGAGAATCAGGGATACAGCTTGCTTGACCCACGACCCTCGAGCATGCTTCCTAGCCACTTTCTTATTTAGCAGTATAGACAAAGACTTTAGTTAAGCAAAATCCAAGATGAATTACATGGTTCTTCAGGGCTTAGAGCTAATGCCTTAGACAGGTCCTGTAGTTAGGCTTCATCTTCCCTAAAAGCAATACTGACTGCAACTAAATATCCCCTTACAACATCCTTTCCTGAGCAGTGCTGCTGTGTTCAATCAACTGCCAGAAGTAAAGCAAATGGCCTTGGACAGAGAGAGAGAATAATCACAGTTTACAGGTGGACTGCAAAAGGTATTTAAGTAAATGTTTTCAAAACAGGTTAAAGATTAAAATTCTTGGTGATAAGTGCTAAAAATAAGTATCACTTTGTAAAAGCTTTTTCAGCTAGTATGAAGTTTGGGCCTAAATTCAGCAATCTGCTGTGCAGAAGCGTTATGGTGTGCTCTGAAGAAATGCATTCTGAAAAGTGAAATTATTGCAGATGTGATTTACAGCAGAACTGGAATACATTGCCATTTGTGTTTATAAACAGCAGAGTCCACTA